CAGCTATTGCTATTGCTTGTTTTGACTAGCTGCTCTACCAGGCCAAAGAGAGGAGAGAAGGGGGATATGTTATTGAGGTTAAAGCTGAGTTTTTTCAGTGTAATTAAAACAGTTAAGTTGAATCAAAGAAGGATGAAAGACCGCAAGATAGTGTTGTAACCTAAAAACGATCTAACAAAAGGGAAGTAAAAGTGGTGTACTGGATCATAGTCAGAAAGCAGAATTTACAGTGCTCAAAAAGTTGCACAGACATTAATACTTGCATATGGGTTTCATTTAAAGGTTCATATGACAGGATGGCATGAGTTTTTTTAGTTTTTTTCAGTACAATTAAACAACCAAAAAAGCTTTGATGTTAGTCTATTTTTGGTTAAAAAGTTACTTACAGTGCCTTAAGAAGACAAGACCCACAATTTATACTTATTAATTCATCTTAAAGGGCCCATATTACAATATTTTCTGATTCATATTATAATGTTGTTTCCTTATCATAGACATACCTAGAGTTGTGTTTTGTTTCATTCATGCATGTTTAACACACAAACCCTGCATATTTAAGTGCTATTTAAGTTCTTCTCTCAAATAGAAAATACTCTGTTCCACCTTCTGATGTCATATGAGGTCATGAAGTGCTCCACTATGTTTTTAACTTCATACAGCTTCACTAGAATCATTTGGATGATTTCAGCCCTGGTACTGTGTGAACAGACTAATAATAAAGGGTTACTCAAACATGTGTGAATGAAACAAAACACAACTCCAGGTATGTATTTGAGGAGGTAACGCGATTATAACATGGGTTAAAGTTCACAAGAGTCAATTATAGGTCATTTTATAGGACCTCTAAACTTCGCTACACTGAGTACCTTTTTCAATAATCAGCGTTTACATGGAGTTTCATCATTACTAGTGAAGACCTATCTAATATACTGCAGGGAGTTGGAAGGAGACAGTTCACTCAGGCATTACACTGTGGATTCAGGGTGGTGCCAGTATTTTTGTGGCGTGTGCATCTGTTTTTGGCGCCCGTGCACATCTTACTGAAGTGGGATCACAGAAATAACATTACCACTTCCTTACCTGCTCCCTCCCACTCCCCAGGCCTGTTGTGGCTGCTGTACTGGAGCCAAGAACATGTGAACAGGTGCAGTGCTGTTTCTAGTGCACTCTATATCTCTCTGCACAACCCTATATTTAAATGTAACCTTTACCACTTCCTGACTTTTTGGAAGGGATAAAATGTATTTAAAAAAAAAAAAAAAAAAAAAAAAAACAATGAATTTTGCTTTCAGTGCCTAACTTTTTGGTTCAGTAAAAAAAAAGATGACAATACCAGCAGTCACCACAGCATGTCAACTATGAAATAATTTCGCAGTCAGCTTATTGCTTATCCCTTGTGATGTCTGTAAAATAAAGATCTGTTTTCTCCCCAAACTTCATTTTGCTCAAATCAGTTTTTATTTTACATTTGGTGTCCATAGTGTGAAAGGATTGTGCAATAATGGGAACTGAGTGGAGTGTGCAATATTTTATTGTTTGGCCCCCTGTGACCCCAGCCCTTTGGGACAACGGATGGAAATTCGTCTTAGGCTACAATCTGGTGTGTTTACATTCATGTTGTGTCATGTTTGTCCATAAAGATGCTCTGTCCCAAATAAATAAATAAATAAATAGCCCTGCAGGTGTTGGCACATGTATTCAATTAACCAATAACCAAATAAATCAATCAAACCAATCAAATACACTATATGTAGGATTTGAACAGATCAGAATAATGTTGGATGCTTACACACATGTAAAGAACTCACTTAGCTAAAGTGATACATCTCTGAACATCTCAACAAACAAACCAAGCTCATGTCCAGTGGTGTCTACCGCGTTCTCAATAATAGCCACATGATGGTGCTGTTTTTCCGTTTCAGTTGTGTAGTTTACAATGACATCCTAAAACACATAATGAAAATTGCCCAGAAGTATAACGCAAGTTTGTTCTGTGCTTGTTTACATTTATATTTTTGTCTTATGTCTGTAAATAACTTCTTATCTTTTGTTTAGAGCAATGTTGGTTATAAGGTGGAGGAATAGAACCCCCTTAAAAAAGATATGATGCACCTCAAGAAGCTATAAATAAATAGATAAATACATGCAAAGTAAAGTAAAGGGAAGTAAAGTAAAGTAATGGCAGGGCTAACGTATTTGCAGCATTAATCTAATCATAACTTTGGCTTAGTAATATTACAACTGGTAGATGAGACAATAGATATGGATATGAGTAAATGTTTTGAACGTTGTGGTTAATTCAAGTTTGTTTAGCCAGGTGAAATATGGTGGAGTTTAAAACACAGTTTTGTGAAAATATGTCTGCCACCATGCATAGAAACAGAAAGTAATCTTGTGATTACAGGAAACACATTAGGTGGGCCAGTGAATTATTTGCATTTTACTGGAAAAAAAAAAAAAAAAAAAAAAGCGTTGGCATGGCAATGGCAAAAAATATATATATATATTTTTTTAAATGTAAAAATGTAAAAATCCTTATAATCCTTAAAAAAAAAAAAAAAAACTACTACTACTACTACTACTACTACTACTACTACTACTACTACTACTACTACTACTGCTACTACTACTACTACTACTACTAATAATAATAATAATAATAATAATAATAATAACATAAAAATAGTTATACTAGTACAAAGTTAGGTCAATCAATGAATCAACTAGAATAGAAAAGAAGTAATATTTGCTCACTGATTCAAACATACAAAAACACCACGACCACACTTTTGTGTTAAAGGTTGTGTTTCCTGTAATGTCGCAATCGTGCCAGTATTTTGTTTTTGACACACGACACTAATGCCACAGTGCTAATCTTAGACCACAAACTCACAAACTTATATTCCCACAGCTTGATGTTCAATTTGTGTGCGGAAACAAACAAATAAATAATGATGCTGTTCAGTTAACCAGTTCATACACACATTTTCTTTTTTTTGAGAGCTCATTCGGTAAACGTGACCAGTCAGATTAAGAGCTTAAATCGTTAAAAAAAAAAAAAAAAGACAATTATAACACCTTTTTTTTTAAAATTGTTTTAGCCTTTTGTAGTTTACACATTTATTGGGTAATGGCTTTGTTTGTATTATTAATCCATAACTTGCAAATATAAGTGGCCACAATGTAGGGACAATATTGTATCAAATTTATTTAACAATTTTAAGGCCCCTGACTAGGACTTCAATCGCGATTCAGTAATGTTTTCTAGTGCCTTTAGGAGGGAACTCAATTATCTGCTCCTTCATACTTCCCTGTGATTAAGCAAATGTGTTCATGACCAGTAAGAGGAGGGGAATAGTGCCTAAGTTTGGCAATAGCGCTCTATTAAACAGACAAATACTGAATGACAATTTCTCCAAACTGATTTTCACTGGGTGGGATCAGATCATAAATCCATTTTTATTGCCAGATTGCTCAGCCCTACCACAAAGTAAAAAAATTGCGCATGATAAATTACTTATTTTGTATTTATTGCATTGAACAGGAAATGCCGTAATTATTTTTGTTTGTCAATTGTTAATTTGTATAATACATTTTTGCTATGTTAATATTATGTTTGCTAATTTGTTTAGTTTGATTTGTTATTATTTACCTTTCTGTTTTTGCTTTGATCTGTGGCGCACCTTGCGGATAAGAGAGTGTGGTACAGCAGGACCAGAGTGCACCTGGCTGGGTCTGTGTTTTTTTTTTCACAGTCGACAGGAGAAGCAGCAAGTAGGCCTTTTGTAAGTAAGTTTTCATTGACAATAGTACCTACAGACGCAAAAGGACTTAAAAGGTTATAAACATGTTGTAACTCCTTACGCAATAGATTTCACCAGTAATTTCACTTTTGCAATGAAGGGCATGCTTATCTCAAAACACATGAGTAACTCTCTCCCCATATTGTTACTCAATAAGTCATCCTGATGCAGATGTATACCAGCTGCCACTGTTGAAGGGTCTGAATACTGCTAAAGTGTATGTTGAGTAAGTAATGATTTGAGCTCTGGTATTCCTATTGTTGTCTATGTATAGCAGAGCCAGGGGAGCGGTGCAGAGTCCCGCTGAGAGCTGTCTGTCTGCACCATCATGAGTCAGAGCCACAAGGCCAGTCCATGAGGAAGTCTGTGTGCTTCCTTTGCCCCATCACTGGACATGTTTGTGAACTGTGCTTGTGCTAAAACAGAATACAACTTGTTTGTGTGGACTGGGCAAATATTAAATATACTATAGTTACACTTTTAGGTACTATAGATTGAATTTACTGTTGACAATTCTATTAAATACATAAATGAACCTCAATAAATTGTATTTGTACAATGTGTGCATCTTCCTTTTACTATTAAATAGTAGTATACTTTACATTGTTATGCACTGGTTTCAAACATTTTAAGTGGTGAAAAATTAAATGTGGATATTGTTTTTTGTAATTTACTTTTACAATTTTCATGTATGGAAAAAAAAAAAAAACTGTAGAAATGTTCTGAACGGAACATTTTGGAGTGGCACTTCCCATTTCTTAGAACATTAAAGAGAGATTCAGTTTACGATAACAATAACAAGTTAGAATAACAAAATAAATGTTGCAAATTTTGCAGATAACTCTGTTACAGGTGAAAAACCACAAGAGATATTTAGTCAGTGTGTACTAGCAAAGGGAGGTGTGAAAACCTCAGTTTAACAAAGGTCACATACAGTAAAATGCCAGAAAAATTTTAAAAAACAACTAGCATAATTCTTCAAGAGGAAAAAAGAAATCATACATTTTTACGCAAATGTAGTAAAAGGTGATACTATGTAAATATCATCAGAGAGGCTATTAAAAGAAAAAAATCATGGCTAGACTGAACAGACAAAACCACATCCTCCCAAAAGGACTCACACACATGGCATACCACGTGTGTAAAAATCCCATTATGTAAAAAGTCTATGTAAGAGTTTTGTAGAGTAAAATGGGTGTAATGTAATGAATCAAATGGCTACAGTCATCAATAGTATGACGTGCGGGGAGCGTGCCCTGGGTGGCTCAAAAGTTGGAGGGAGATAGATAGTGAGAAACAGTAAAAGGAGGTGGTAGCAGCGGCAGCGCAACAGGATATTTAGTCACCATGGTTACCGGTTGGAGATACAGATCTTGATGTTTCTGTCATGTTTTTTCAGTCACGCTAACGTAGAGGAGAGGGACACACTCGTGGAGATTAAACAAGTGTTGTTTTGTCGCATCAATGTGATTGGAGCCGGATCCCATCTGAAGAGCAGGAAACAAGTGCACCAAGGTGAGTTTGGTTCAGTAACTTTTTATAGTTGATGAAAAACTGTTAGAATCAATATTAGGCCTACCAAATGTATAATTCAAAAACAATTTAAGGAAAATTGATAAATTATTTCATATAAAATATTTCTAACTGTTAATTTTATGAACAAAATTCTACTCTGCTGCTGCTACTATCTATCTATATATCTAGACTTAGAAATTAGACAAACTTTATTGATCCACAATTGATCAATTACTTCATCTACAACTCAGGTCATTAAAAAAAATCATGTTAAATTACAAAATATGCTACTTCTAATAACTTTTCCAGTAAAAATTAAAAGTACATTGCTTTATAAATTAAATTAATACACATATATATTGCATTTTATTACTATGTGTGTCAGTGGCCAGGAGAAATGTCAGGAAGTGTGCTTTTGCCTGCCCCAGTTCCATGTGCTGTCTTATAGGCCAAGCTGCCGTTAAAAACACCGGTCACATTTTTAGAGCGTTTCCAAGCGGCTTGGCGTCTAAGGCAGCGTGCCCTGGGGAAGCTCACTTCCTCATACACAAAACTGTCTCTCAGCACCAACTGTTTTTTTCAACCTGAGTGTGAGTGCAACAGCTGCCTTCACAATCGCTGTAATTGTTCTCAAACTTCCTCTGTAAGACTTTCAACACTATTCAAGATAAAAAACAGCCACCTCAAAGACTTATGACTCACAGGCAAAATAATACATGGGGCAATAGTTCATTTTCTGTTAGGTCAAGAAAGTCTTGTTTCTTTATATATCAGTGTACTTTATCTATCTATCTATCTATCTATCTATCTATCTATCTCTATATATAAATATATAACCACTAGATGGTGCTAAATACCACATAGTGAAAACGCAACTGACGAAAAGACATCTGAGGTGAACCAAATGTTTCACTGGTAGAAAAACCTGCCTTACATCTATGACCGCAAAAGCACGCTGACCTTCTAAGAACACAATACACATATATGAGGAATGAGGAATACATTGTACAGTGCGTTCTTGCGTTCTTGCTATATCCATGGCAACCTAGCCATAAAACTTTTTTCATCCACCAATTTAAAGTTCAAAGGTCTGATTGCTGCTTCAGCCACCATGTCTTTTATGAATGTGGTGTGTGATTGGTGGGGTGTGGAATGGCCGATGGCACAGACTCGACAGGCTTATGAAGCCTGTTATTATTATTAATAATTTTATACTGTTATATAACTTATCAGAAAAAATGCACAAATCTAACAATGTGTAACATAATCTACTAATCTAATAGAATGATCAAAGTTTCAACATAGGTTAGGTCACAATATCGATTTTGAACTTCCTTTTCGAAAAATATATCTGATCCAAGGCTGGTTTCACTTCATGAAAATCTCAGACCCCTGCCTCTTACTGCAAAACTAACACATGATATTTCTTCAACAGGCACAGTACTTGAATCAACATGGCAACTACTGCAGTTCCCACAACTTTAAACTTATTCACCAACTATTCTGGGTGTGACACACTGTATAACCACCGCACCTATGCCAGGGTCCTCATGCCCCTCTTCTATTGTGTGGTGTTCCTGGTGGGGCTCTCCGGGAACTGCCTCGCCCTGTATGTCATCCGTCCCAACCTAAAGAAAATGAACTCCACAACTTTATACTCGCTGAACCTCGTCATATCTGACATCCTGTTCACTCTCTCTCTCCCTGTGAGGATTATATACTATGGCATGGGCTTTCACTGGCCTCTGGGTGAAGTCATGTGCAAAATCTCTGCTCTTGTCTTCTATATCAACACATACGCTGGGGTGAATTTCATGACTTGCTTAAGTATTGATCGTTTCATTGCAGTGGTTTTGCCTCTACGCTTTGCAAAACTAAGAAAAGTTAGCCGCGTGCGCTTCATCTGCGTAGGTGTGTGGCTGCTGGTTCTTGGTCAAACTCTTCCATTGCTGAATATGGACATGACCAATGTGGAACCAGACGGTTACATTACATGTATGGAGTACCCCAATTTTGAGAAAGTTGACCACCTTGCCACTACCTTGATAGGTGCAGTTTTCCTTGGTTATGGCCTCCCTGTTGTTACAATCCTGGTGTGTTATTCCATTCTCTGCTACAAGCTTCACTTCACAGCCAAATCCAACCATCTTACTGAAAAGTCTGGCCGAAGTCGCAAAGCCATTGGTGTGATTTGCTGTGTGTCTCTTGTATTTGTGTTATGCTATAGCCCCTATCACATTGACCTCCTCCAGTACATGGTCCGTAAGCTCATGTACACGCCCTCCTGTGCAGAGCTGACATCGTTCCAGATCTCTCTCCACATCACAGTTTGTCTGATGAACCTGAACGCCTGCCTGGACCCGTTTGTCTACTTCTTTGCATGTAAAGGATACAAAAGCACACTGTTCAAGCTCCTCAAGCTTCATGTCACTGTGTCCTTCTCCAGCGCTGGGAAGACATCTCCTGAGGGCTCCTCCAGGGATGTGGTGGATGGGAACAAGATCCAGCTCAACAGTTCAACTATGTGTTCAGCGAGTGAGAGGTTCCCTCCAGGAGACAGGAGATCTATGAAATATGACTGAAAATGTGTACATGTTTAATGTCAATGATGTGGACATAAAAAAGACTTGAAGCTGCTGCTTGTTCTTTAGATTTATGAACAGAGTTTTCAAAGCTGAGAAACCAAATTGTCCAGGGTGAATATTCACATACCTCGACACTGATGTAAAGAAATTGTTGTTGTTAATTTTGTATTATACAAAGTACTGTAAAGATGCTTGTCTTTCATGCCTCTCACAAGTAGCTCTGTTTTGGAGGAGCTGATAAACCAACAGGATCCAAGCCATGATTATTCATGTTGTTAAAGTATTTGTTTGGTTGGCAGTATGTTAGGATAATAAGCTATAAAGCTCTAGTACATTTTGTACCAAATGGGCGTATAATTATTGGCTTGCTACCTGCCTCATGGAAATGTTGCTTCTTTACCTGCAATGTGACATAAAACCTATGTATTTTTTATTAAATTGCATGTGTTTTTATTGCTTAAAAGTTAAAAAACATACTGTGAGTGTGGTTGCCTCTCCATAGAACTGACCTTTCACTTGGCCTGGTGATGCTTGTCTCCATGGTGATAGTTGAGTTTAATGTCATACTGCTGAAGCTTCAAGGCAAAGCAATACCATCTACTTGAAAACAAGAAGGTGCAAACACCAGTAAAGTGACATATTAGTACATAGTTAAAACATTGAACATTCAGTATAATTAAAAAAAAAAAAATGGATCTGGATAAATATTGTAATGATTCAATCTTGATTAATGATGACAGTTTAATTCAGTGACTGTTAGACCAAACATATTACTTAAAGAATAAGTATGTGTTACCAGTGTTTCAAAGTATATGCAGTTTAGTCTGGATAAAGTGACAGGTTCAAAATCACATGACTGGGTGAGAAAAGCTTTAGACATCCCATGGTTTCCTGTTTTTGACACGTTCAGATCTGTTGTACCTACTTCAACGGTTTAAATTAAACTCAGAGTGACGTGGTTTGTTCTTTTCTGCCTGTAAGTTTTTAAACTGTATACATTTTAATTATCAACTTCATTTTATTTACTTACATAACATAAAATCGTTCTTGCACCATGAACTATTATTACAACCTAATGGAGCACGATGATTTTATACTAATTTCACTACTACAACTACTTCAAATTAGAAAAGTCCAGTATGACTCAACAAACACCTGTAAAATACATTCTTATTGATATTAGTTTCTGAATTCTCAGAAAAGAAGAATTATATGGAGTCACATTAGCACATTTGATAAAAAGGAGCATTTGCTGTGACAGTGCTGTATAAAGGATCATCCATTAAAACATCTCTTGCTCCACCAGTCATTGTTCAAAATGGTAAAAAAAAAAAAAAAAAAAAAAAAAAAAAAAAGGGGAAAACAAAATAAGAACACAAACCTCTAAGTTAGTTGTATTACTAACTGTAGAGTGACACTGGAGTATGGTACCATTTTAAAAATACAAAGTAATGGCTATTATGATTACAGAACTACAACAAGTATACAATTTAACCGCTACTATCACACTGCTGATAATGCTGCCGCTACATGTGACTGCATTTAGTAAAAATTCTACCACTGCCACTGCCATTTTTAAAACATTTACAAAAAAAACAAAAAAAACAAATTATGCTGTTGGTATTGCATGTAAGCTGGTTGGAATGTTGAGTTAAGAAGTTTTTAAGTTAAGAACACGCTTCAAAATCTCTTGTAGTAATTCTTGATGGTCACTAGAGGGGGGCATATAACAGCGTAAAAATACAACACATACTAATCCTTTATTAAGTAGCCTATGTTAGTAAATAATAATAACTACCAGAGGAAACAAAATGTGTGTTATTTGTATCAAATGATTGCATTTAACTTTTTGTATGTCCTTGTTGTTGCATTGTTCATGATAGATCCTAAAAAGCAGTTATTATGGAAATGGTCTTTAAAGAAGCACCGTGACGGGTTTCAAAGACAGGACTAAACAGACTGTTGTCATAACAACATATTGCAGTAAACACAAAGTGCCATCTGCCGTGAGATTTTTAAGACACATTGAGAGGACGAGCCAATAGATAATTATACCTCAGGAAGAGAATATGAATCGGATTGCAGTTTTGATGTAAAAGTAAAAGATGGTAACAACTGCTACAAAATCATTTAACAGCCAATTAAACGTACGCAGCTAGATATGTGATGAGAGAACTGAAATGTGTTATGATGTCCCAGAGCATTGAGCTAATTTGAAAACAAAAGATAAATAATTCATTTGAATCAAAGGTAAAAAGATCCCAAGCCAGAACAGACTCCCAATTTAAATTGGCCCAGGACAAAGTAACTAAACAATCTGTTCAAACTTTACCAAAATAAGTACAGCTATCATAGTACTTACTACTACTTTGCAAATACCTCTACAAAAAATAAGTACTACTGCAGACACTACTAGTACTATATTTATCCAGATGACTAACTTACCATTTATCACAAATAGGGTGTATTAATAGATTAATAAACATAGCACTTTAAGCAATATGTTTAATAAATAAATATCTTCAAATCAGTGGAGTTGAGTGGAAGAGCAATTTATGTTGATACAATGCAACTGCTACTACTACCAGCCATTTCAACCACTGTTCCAAAAAAGATGAGTTAAGAAACAAGATCAAACTGTATTTATCTCCCAAAGGAAGAATTCTCTTGTGATAGGAGCTATTCACTAACACCTCCTCAAACTCCTTCAATCACTGCATCACTATTTCAATAAAAATGTGAAGTGATTATTTTCACATTTATACCTCTGATTGGTGTCACAGTACTAACTTGTCAAGCTTGATTCCAAAAAGCAACAGCTCCATGTTAAACATGAACATGGCGCCCAACACCACTGCGGAAAAAACACTTTAGAACTCCTGTCTCATTTACCATGTCCATGTTTTTGTTTTTGTTATTGTAAAAATGTAGGCCTATTGCAATTTCAACACAATACAATGGTAGGTTCATTTGATATAATCCACAATTATGGATAATTTGATAATTCAATTTAGGTATTTTTTAGACAAAGCCCGTTGATTCTGATATTGCATACCATTCTGATCTGATCCTACTTATCATCTTGCAACATGTAACTTTTTCTCGTGGGTCTGCTACCTGTTTGCTTGTTTTGTTTTGTTTTCATAGAAGCCTCTGTAACTGAATAAATGATAGAGAAATTTACTGTGGAACATTCTGTGCAAAGCAATAACAAACACTAGATAAGTGCACCTTTAATATTAGCCCTGTCACAATAATTACTATATCGACTTCTTGTTCAATACTGTGTAAGGAAGCTGGAACAACATATTTTGGTGATCAAAATTAACCATGTGTGCAATTAAATTTTTAACTGTGGGGAGATATGTGTGTTTTAGTTGTAATACAATAAGATTTGAGCATGTAGAGGGTTGAAAAAGTAACTTCAGTAGCTAATTATTGCATCATTCTGTTGCAGTTCAAAAATGTTTTACAAGTATTATCTTGCATTATTGGTTTTGTATCAGTGGCATTAATCATTGATCGTTTATCGCAGTATATCTTAGTAGCAATATATCCTGCTTCAAAGTTTATTATTGTGACTGGCCTAATAAATATAATTTCTTATCCATAAATAATGCAACACAAGCTACTTTGGGTACAAACCTTGAGTCTGTGGAAAACTTTTTTTTCACTATTTCTTGGTACAATATCATTTTAGAGTGGACATGCTCTTTTAATCCACATCTCCTCATTCCATGCTTCTTTCTCATTGTGGACATTAATCACATTCATCTGTATTCAGCCCCTGTCCAGACTGACCTTGGCTGTTTTCACCTGAGCTGTGTGCTTTGCATCCATTAAGTCCACGTCGTGTGTTACAAAAAAAAAAAAAAAAAAAAATGTCCCGGCATCAGCGTGAAGTGTCTATTACCACCATCTTATTTCCTGTTTATATGGCAACTGCCTCAACATCCTGTTTTTAATTACTTCTCTCCTGCAGCAGATGCTTCTCACTGCAACCTGCTGTGGATTACTCCCCTGAGAACTAATGTGCTGTGACAGACCCCACTTTTCCAATCAATAACTCGCCCTAAATCTGCCATCTCCGCGCCTGCCAAACACACTCCCACTTCTAATGGCAACATCATTTTCTTTAAGGGGGTGTAATTGCAGACTCTGGAAAAGCCCGGGCCTTTTCGCGTGTGCCATTACACTGTAAAGGAATGTGAAAGTGAAACTAAACTACAGTCGATACACGGAGATAGAAGGGAACGCATGCCTCAAAGCTACATTGTGTAACATTTCTGGTGGCGGGTCCGTCAAATGCTTTTGGAATTGTTATTGCTTTGTCTGGAATGTTTCACAATATGGCATTAAACCTTCCTATCTTCATGGAGAAAAATCAGGCTGAGTTATAGGTCAGATCTGTGCAGAGGCAACCCCGCTCACAGTAAAAATGTCTGTTTTTCTAGGTATTTTTGAGCTATAAAACCACCTGTAATTGAATAAATGCAAGGTAGGGCTAAATGTCATACTGTGGAACATTCCAAGCAGAGTAGTGATGTATCCATAGAAACAAGCAGTGTCAGATCCTCAACCAAAAAAATGCATCATGCACCTTCAAATATAGTATGGGGAAAAACATTTACAGCAATAAATAGGGATGTAACGATATCCAAATTTCTCGATATGATATTATCACGATATGCATCTCACGGTACGATATTTATTACAATATTCTGGAGAGGCTGATATAATTTTAAGTTTTAAAATACCCTGACAAGAATTTGGTGTGAATTATTACTGTCATGAGCTGAAGAATTCAAGTAAAAAACATATCTCTTCATATTGTCTGCTCTGAAATGAATCATGGGATATGTAGTTCCTAATATTTATAAGCAGTTGCTACTATAAAACAAGCAAAGGAACTTGTAATTCAATATATTGTGACAGCCCACGATATTATTGTGAGACTTTTGACGATACGATATCACGATATTTCGGTTATTGTTACAGCCCTAGAGAATTCTACAGCATCAGTGCAACTACTACTGCTATTACAACTGCCAGTCCTACCAGTACATTGTGCCTCATACAAGTATTGTTACTACTATTATTACTACCACATAACTCTGAGTCATATTAAAAAAGTGGGGATTTTTGGTTGATGTATTTACTGTTCCAACTATTACTGCTATTCAAGGTCCTTTGACGTTAACAAATATTTACATATGCAAATAGTTCATACTACTGTTTGCACCTACACTGTTTTCTGATCTATGTCATGGAGTTCATGCTGTTATGTTTTGTTCCACTTACCCATGTTTAACACACACACCTTGCATATTTAGGAGGTGTTCTTCTCTCAAACTGAAAACACTCTGTTCCACCTTGTGATGTCACGTGGTAATACAGGAAGTGCTCCATTGTGTTTTCATACACCATACACCTTCACTAGAATCTTTTGGATCATTTCAGTCCTGGAATTTCCATTTTCTTCAAGCTGATAACTTGAAAACTGCAACTACATGACAACACCAGGTGGAACAGGGCATTTGGAGTTTGGGAGATGCAGATAGCCTATTAAAAAAAGAAAGAAAAAGAAACAAAACACAACTTCAGGTATGTTTTTGAGGAGGTAATAACATTATAACAGGGCTTTAAGTTCACAACAATCCATTTTGTGTAAGACATGACATTTAAAGATTACCACTATTCCAGTTATTACTATTATTAGAACCACCATTATTAGCATAGTAGTGGTATGACCCTATGCTAAAAGTATGTATAAAAGTGTATAAAAGGCTCAATATATAATGTAGCTCAGCCTTTGCACAGAGAGCCTTCTCATACACCGGCATTAAAGACTAGAACAAGCTCCAGACAGGCTGAAACTCCCCTCTGACCTGAGGGACTTCTCCTGTAATGTTAGGAAAGTCCTTAGAGAGTCTGCACTGTCAACACTGATTGTATTTGCATTTGGTAGCTTATATGGTAATATCTGACTTTGTATTTGTATTTGAGTAATAATAAATGTAGAAATGTGGAGTGTGATGTTTTTTTAAAGAAAGAATGGGAGAATGGATAGATACTTATATATATTTGTTTGTTAACCTGCTTGGGGACTGCAGATTTCTAGCTCTTTAACTAAATTTGGGGTAAAGCATCTCTACTTTTATGAGATGAATGTACTTGCACATGGTCTCTGTTAATATAAACTATATTTTTACACATAAGTTTTATAAGTAAAAGTATTGAGTCCCTCTGCACTTCTGTACTTGTCTGACACAGGAAATACTGAAGGGGCTGTTCACTGTTACGTTTTAGTGAACCACATTTGCATCACATGGGCCTAAGAGAAAGTCCTCACTTCCGTGTTTTATCTGTTGCTGGCAGACACATAAATATCTTCAATACTTTATAAAGCTATTGGTGGGAGCTGTCGACATGTATTTGTGAGTGTTTTTCCAAGGTAAGTACAATCTTTTTTATCGCCTGACAATGAAAGATGTACAGTGTGACCTTAAGGGGAGAAAGAGAAAGTAATTTGGCAGTCGTGTTTTACTGCGCCCTGCAACTGTGTTTGGAGGTGATACAGTAACAGCAGGTTTTATTTGTCCAGGTATTCAGTTATTAGATTACTGGGATGAATAATTGATAGTGGATGGCGAGTGAGAGACAGTTACATGATTTCATATCAGGCAGAGGAACAACTCAAAGGTCACCCACTTCTCACGTCTTATTTCACAATAGAGTAATGTTCATAATTGTAAATGTAGTTTGTATCTTATAAAACATACAGAACATTTCAATTGTACTTGTCTTGTTTTTTGGTTTTGTTTTGTTTGTTTGTTTGTTTGAGATCATTTGATTATCTCTATACCTATCTCTTCACCTCACTACCAAATATGGTGTTGTTATAATAATAGTAACAAATGCACTTTAAATTCACTACCAGAAACTTTACCGTAACTGATTTTCCAGACCTAGACTAACATGAACCCAACCTCTTAAATCAAAAGTTTGGAGATTTTCCATGTATGGTTATGTAATAGAATTGACATTGATAATTTCTCAAGTGGACTTCCAATGCTTTATAGTCTTAACCTTTACCATTTCGGCCTATTTTTCCTAAAACGTCTGACTAAAATGACTCTCAATTCAAGCTGAGTCAGTTTCTGAACTCTCAGAACCCACAAGCAAACTGAGACTCTGTAGTTTTGGCTTCTGCTTTCTGGTCTATTCTAATTTTAAATCTGTACAGAGGAAAGCCAGATTTCAAGTTCTGTCTGAAAAATTTGATGTAAATGCATATATGTATGTATGTATGTATGTATAGCTGGTGTCCCTAGGGATGATTTCATAGACACTAGATTGAGTATTTGTTGGGTCTTGGGACAACCCCATGTAAAATATAAAAGTCCTATAAAAACATTTGTGAAATTGTAGGTTATTTTTCATAGCTATTTGTGGATTTGGAGAACAAAGTCATCCAGATTCTTCTCAAAATGGTTGATTTGACTGAAAATAAGCGTGTTACAGATTTCCATTAATGTTCTGCATGTCTGTGAGATTGATAGTTTCCTTTTATCAGAAGGCGGACAAACAGAAATTAATTAAGAAAAAGTGTAATGGCCCACGCATGGTCCCTTGAAATGTTGAGAATTTTAAAGTAGGCCGACTTCTGGTTTTCATAAGCTGCATAGCTATATTTATAGACACAGACAGGAAACCAACTTTAGTCACTTGTCTATGTCAGGCCTACACAATTATAGTAATTCAAGTAAATTCTGTTCCATGTGATACAACCACACGTTTTCACTTCTTAGGTTACATCTTTCTAACTGTATTTTATCCTTTTATCTTTAGCATGGATCTTCTGGACTTGAACTTTACCAACATGTCAGTGAAGTCCAGCGCAGTGGCGCAGGGCCCGGAAGAGTACCGCATAGTAGGCCTCATCTTCTATTCCGTCATCTTCATCATCGGGCTCATCGTAAATCTCACTGCTATATCGGTGTTTGCGCTGACCACCAAGAAGAGAAACTCGGTTACTGTCTACATGATAAACGTGGCTCTCGTAGACTTGCTTTTCATAATAGTGCTACCCTTCAAAATAGCCTACTACCACCTGGACTACTGGCCCTTTGGAGATGTCTTCTGCAGGATCAGCGCGGCTCTCACCATCTTCTACCCCTGTATGGCGCTCTGGTTGTTTGCCCTTATAAGCACGGATCGTTATATGGCTATAGTCCAGCCAAAACACGTCAAAGAACTGAGAAACGTCCCCAAAGCAGTAGTGGCCAGTATTGGAGTTTGGCTTATGACCCTTGGCAGTACCATACCCATGGTTTTCTCCAAAAACGACCGCGATTCAAGTTCCAACTTCACCACGTGCGACAAAATGGAAGACATTGTTTACCTTCGCAAAGATAACCCAGTGAACTTTGTGCGTCTTGTCTTTTTCTTCCTTTTGCCAATTTGCGTCATGGTTGGCTGTTATGCAGTCATAGTGGACAACCTGATCCACGGGCGCACTTCGAAACTGAAACCAAAAGTCAAGCAGAAGTCTGTGAGGATTATAGTTACGCTAATTGTGCAGATTTTGGTGTGCTTCATGCCTTTTCATATTTGTTTAGTTGTGCGGCTTTTGGAGACAGACGTTGGGGGGTTTCACATATGGGCTATCTTCACCACTTGTTTAATGAATCTCAGCACTGTTTTGGATATAATTCTCTATTATATAGTTTCTAAGCAATTCCAAGACAGAGTAATAAGCGTGGTTTTGTACAGAAACTATCTCCGTAGCGTCAGAAGGAAAAGTTTGCACACGCACACCGGTAGCATCCGATCACTGAGCAATTTAAATAGTGCGATGATTTGAAACCAGCTGTCAATCAAGACTCCCATAAGTACTGTATACTAGCGTGCGCAAATGGAGCAACGTTACAGCCAAGTGTGTTTCTTTTTTTCTTGGTACACGGCTCATTATCAAAAGGATCAAAACTTGCAATTAATTTCCGAGATGTAATTTACACTCACAGTATGGGAGTGCTGCTGTTGTGGCAAAAACATCTGTGTTCAGAGCTGATTGACTCACCCTTGAGACTGGAGACGCTTCCTTGCTCCGCAGACAAAAGCAGCGACTAGAACTGTGGCTCAGGTGTAATAGACACAAGGCAAAAATAACTTTCATAATTATTATGAACACAGCACGCGGCATCTATGTTTGTTTGCTTTGGTTAATATGTATAAACAATGAAAGTGTTACAGCAGACGCCACAGGAAATGAGCTCGGCTATAAGGTTTTTTACGGGGCTTCTATTTCAACGCAAGATTAAAATATGTGCGAAACATCGTCAGTGGTAATATTGTATTCTACTTTACTTACTGTTTAAATGTGTGTATACATTTAAGTGTAAACTGTAATCAGATCTACTCCAGCTGCTGTAAAGGCATTGGCCGATGGAGGGCAGCATGGCACAGTCTGAATACGAGTGCGCGCCAGAGACTATTTGGAGTAGAGGACCGAAATCCTGTGGCTCTAAGCCAGTTCCTCAGTTCAATTAGATGACTAACTTTTTAATCACAAACTTTTATATTTACGTACATTTTGTATTGAAAATATGTAGCCTAATGAATGCACAAGATAGTTTACATAAGGGTTCAGTAATTTTTATGGTCAGCTGTGAATTGTATTGATTGGATGTTAAATGATTTAGTCACTTGGAGTGCATTTACTGTAATATCCTCAAGAGATGTCAAAGAAGACGTCCACTAGATTTAAAAGAGGAAATAGAAAATTACAGCCCAACTCAATTTGAGTTTATTTAAAAAACAAAGTTGAAATTTGTAAAAGTGCAATGACAAGAATAAATAAATAAATGAATAAATAATATTACAACAACAAATATATTTTCAGGTGTTATTTTATATGAATCGTTAACTAAAATAAGACAAGTAAAAATCAATAGTGTTGAATAAAATAATAAGGTTTGTGAGTCTCCCCTTCATAACGTGGTTAACAGGTGACTCGGGGCAGCTGAGTAAATACTTTCTCCCACAATAAAAGATTTAAGTCTGCAATTAGGCTGTCAACAGCTTTGGTGTAAGCACATGCACTTCAGTAACTGTACAGTGTACTGTATACAAGTGTATACACAGCTACAGAAAGGAGCTGAAGTGAATGCACAATGCTCGTCTGAAAAGGCTCTGAGGCCACATTCCTGTGTTGTAGAGCACAGATGAGCTCATGTTGTACATTATGGAGTGTGTATTCATATCCACATATGAGTGTGCTACACAGATCCATGTCTGTCAGAACAAGCATGTCCCTGCAGACCGCTGCCTATCTGCTCCACTGTATTCAATAAAGCCTGCAGTCCAGCTACACCATTTCCATTTTATATGGAATTCTGGGAAGCACAGTTCATCACATGATGATAGCTTTATTGGCTGCTGGACTACAAGTAGATTTATAACCAAAAGGTTAAAGGTCAAATGAAACATCAGAGGGTCGTCTATCTGTCCCACCTGTTAGACATCAAAGAAAAACCTGCACACTGCTCACAGCAACTGGCATTTAAAACAATTAAGTTCCCTGTCAAAGCCTTGTGATGAATTATCCGGAAGCTTTACCCGCTGTAATTCTAAATCTTTCCAACAAGTGCCTTTGTTGTAGAGAAATTAATGAAAACAAGATTGTCTTTCATAGAGCTGATCTAACAACGCGACAGCCAGCTGCTCCTCTTTGGGAATAAAACAGTCAGCATTAAACACAGCTCAGACAAAATACTTTTTTTCTTGCACTCGTGTGGAAAACAAATCAGGCGGCGAGCGCACTGGCCATCTGTTTTGTTATTTGATATGTGTGAATACATGTTGTAATGACTTTGTTTGTGAATCACTCTGCACGGCAGAACACACGAGAGCTCTCGAGGAGCTGGAGTGTTCAAAGCTAATCATATAATTGGACACAATAGTCGATGACAAATGGAGACGCTCGGAGCCAGCCAGCTGGGAAGTGAATATGTAATCATTGTAAAATCATATCATTTTTGCATATTTGAAGACAGCTTAATAGAGTTTGCGTGTCAGCACACTCTAAAGTGATGATCAGAGGGAGTATTGCTGGATTTGTTTTCTAAATTGTGCTGCGCTGAAATCTTTATCATGATTAAAACTGTTTCTCAAGAGCTAATGTTTATTTTTCTGTGGCTCACTGATGAATGCTCAAGTACAAGCAGGACATGGTGGCTCTTTGTAACACAGTCGGATACAGCCCTCCAGAAAATGCTTTAGAGGAGACATCTATTCCAAAATAACAAAATCAAGCAGCTTTTAGCACTTAAGTGTAAAGCAACAGATGAGTGTTGCAGTTTGGGCAGCAGCCTTGTTCTGTGGCCTTTTACTTTGCCATTAGTCTTCATATTGTTCCCATTAGAGAGTATGCAGACATGAAAGAGCACCTATAATGTTATATAGATACTGTACAGTGTACACAGTATCCAGTCTGGGCCCCCGCTCTACTGTACGGCATTAGCTCCATGCAGCTGCCTACGTTTACATCATTTAGCGTTCCTCTCAGGGCACTTTAATGCACTGAACCTCTCCCCTGGTAAACTTTACAATAGGATGTTGAGGGATACTTCTGGACTGCCATAGGAAATGAAAGGCACATGTGTGCGGATCTACCGGCACAACACTGGGTCCCCCCTGTGATGCCGAGCTTAAGGGCTGCACAATGAGACTAATGGATTCCTTTTGTGGGACAGAAATAGGTTAAGCACACGCGCTATTGTTCTTATCTGGTCTGTGTGCAACAATAAGTCCAGTAAGGAAGGCACGAGCTATGCAAATCTTCACAGCTTCACAGAGGTAATCTTTTCCTTGGGCAATTGCAATCTAGCCCTGCATTGTCTTCTGTCTCCATTAAAAGGAGATAATCTAGTGCAAGTGTTTCGAATGGTACTACAGTGGCTCCAATTGACCCAGCAGTTAGCAGTGAGCACAAGGAACTCTGGGAAATGTATGGCCTTGATTACAGCTGTGTGTCTATTTTAGCAGATTGTTTGGTTTCCGATTCGCACACAGACACAGCCAGTCGCCATTAGCACGTATAAATAATGTACGGCCCATCTACTCCCTCCTCCCTTTTCCCTTCTCGCTCAGCTCAGATAAAGTGCCATCATTGGAAACCTTGGACTGCTCACGATCTCCACAGATTTGGATAAGATTTATTTTGGTTGGGTTTTTTTGACAGCGTTCCACAACATGCATCTGGGATTGTGTTTAATTGTACTACTTAGAGGACAAGAGTAGTGCTTCTCATCAGGAATAGAGCCAAATTTTGGATAATCTTGTCTCATTGCAAATCTGTCTTTGTCCAAATCTACAAAACCTGCCATATTCAAAAAATAAATTACATTTAGAACTAGAAGGTAGGACTAAATAAAACCATATATGCCATTATTAAATTGATGATGACTGATGGACATAGCCTATGTAAGTATTTTGTCAGGTAATACTGTAACTGGGAGAAAAGCTACTGACAAAGAAACCAACTTTTTGTACTATCAAGAACATGTTTGCTATGAATTATATCAAAACATTTACCTTAAACCTATCACAAATAGTTGATTTCCTGTAATAGCAAAATAAAAAGTATTGGAAAAAAGCACAAAGTGGGAGATAGATGAGAACCATGTGAAAACAGCTGAATCAAACAATCCCACACAATTGTATCTGTGTCATGGTACTTGACACTTTTATATATCTATCTAAAATGGTGATCTTCATGGATGGCTAAAGCCTCTCTCAAAAAATGCACACAGCATGACAACGCTAACATGTATTATTAGCTATTTAGATTAATCAGTCAGGCCATGGCTCAATAATTTAACCCCCAGTCTCGATACAGAAGCACAAACCGTGCTATATACCACGCATACACGAGTGACAGGGAAAGATTTAAGGAGGCACAGTTGCTGCTTAAAATGTAAAATCATACTATTACAATATTTCACACAGGGTTCCTTTATCTCCGCCTAAACCTTTACACAACAGGGCTCTGAGCAGCGTGAGTGATATGATGGCAGCTAATGCTAATGCACTCATTTCAGCTGATGTGCATTAAAAGAGAGCTGACTGACAAATTTAATGTAAAAGCCAGGTAGAGAGGGCGAGCGGGGTGTGGAGAGAGAGAGGCCTATACATGAGTGGCTCTGTGTGCACATCACGTCTCCTCTCCCTAAGCTCAATTACAGGATTGATACTCAGAGAGGAAACTTCATCATGTCGTACAGATGTCTTCACTGGAGGAAGAGGGACACGCCGCATGTTGGCGTTTAACGTGACACAGTCGCCGTTCATTCAAAACAAGACAAATCAGGAACAGTTGAGCAAAAGATTTTATTCAAGTCTAGGTCATAGTTCAATCTGAGTCATGCATATTTTCATTTCCCCATGAGATAATGTGAGAAAACACAGTCATCTATAGTGTACTATTGGAAGGAGGGCCTAAAACCCACCCTTGCAAAAAAGATGGAGGATCTATTATATTTTTCTCAATGGAAATGTTACTTTGCTTATAATATATATCCCACAGTGTGATAATAATGGTGTGTGTGCCTGTGTGCATGCGTGTGTCCATCGAAGTCGAAGTCAAATGTTGTGTTCTTCCCAACTAGTCTGGCTGCTGAGGACCTCCCCCCGCAGACCTCCACCAGGATAAACCTCCTCTCGTATGTCCCTCTCCATTTTTCATTAGTGTACTTTATAAATGACTTAATTACACTTTCTAAAACTCATTTCAAATTGTTTAGAGCAAAGCACTTCACATTTAATCACCAACAGATTTCATTTCTAGTTTGAAATTAACTAGCTTTGTGTTGTCTCCGCTCTGCTTGTGTAGGGAAATTAGCAGTTTAAAACAAGAACCAAAAAAACAAAAACAAAAAAAAAGATATTTAACTGTCACCATTTATGCAGGCTTGGGAATGGCAATTGTGGTTCCTTAAAATACTGACACAAATAAAATAGATTTGATATGATCTTATAATCTTATAAAATTTTACAGCCCTATACCAAGAAGTGAAGTGAACTGCCTTTAGTTACAGGGCTGAATCCATCCATTCATTGTCACATCACGTGTATTATTAGGGCAATTTAAATTCAACAGTCTTTGGGCAGTGAGGAAAAGTGACACATAGGAAGGGTATGCCCATTTTAGTAAGCCACTTTAATAAGACTCAAACTCACAAACTCCTCACTAAGAAGAAAAATCTGTATCGACTCTAATCTAAAATATCACCCACTTGCTCCATTCATCTGAGTAAACTGATGTGAAACAATAACTTGCAAACAATAATAATGTGTGAGTGAGCTAGTCAGCCCCATCACAGTAAACATTTTTTACAACCCAGACAGCTCTATAAAGCGCTTTAGGCATCATTGGCCAGAGCCGTCATTAGTCAGGGCTTGTGTGTGAATCTAAATAAAACCACAGTGCTGCTCTCATATACTTTACACTGTTCCTCTCACACATGGAGAACACTCACAACAATGGCCACGCTCTGCTTTAATTTCATTAGGTTTTGTCTTTGCAAATGCCAAGTCCTGTTTTGCCTCAAGAACATATCTCTTAATCACGTTCCATCCAGGCTGTGTCTTTCATCTCAATCTCACAGTTGTGGCTCCTGCCCAACTTTATTTTGCTATAAGGTAAAAGAGGGGAAAAAAATAAAAGCAGACTTGCGTACACTTCCAACAGGGGAAATGCAATGACAAAAGCCCTCCTCTCATCTCTGTCACATGAAATGATGTTTGGTGTTTAGCGGCGTGCTGCTGGGGTGTGTGTGCGTGTGTTTTTTGTGTGTGCGTGTGTCTGCAGGGCTCAGATCCATGTTGTTTGGTTTGCTTCTTCCATTAAGAGAGCTGTAAAGCAGAGGGAACAGATGGCTGCTGGCCCGCTCTGTCCTGCATCCTCTCACAACTGCCACACTTCCTGTGCCGCCATTAATCTTCCCTCACTACTCCTGCAGCACAACTTTATTAAAACAACTCAAGAGAGAGCCAACAACAAGCACGGCGCAGCTGTCAGGAGCAAAAGACCCAACCATCCGTCCACACAAGAAGAGCCCCGCATTTTGAGACGCCCACGTAAAACAACTGGAGTAAGGATGCAGTGGGGCTTTGAAGCGCTTGCCGCCGTAGTCGTGGAGGAGGCACAGTAAATGCTCATTAGAACACAGCTGGAACTGCTGCTGGAGCCACTTCATGGGCGTGCTCCGTCAGACTTAAATATGGGAACCACCAGCTCAGCCTGCAGCGCACTACTGTTTGGGCTCAAAAGGAAGTGCTGCGTAACTATGAAGTTTGGCTCAGATATTTGAAAGGATAATTGTACACAGTATGTCAAATAAAGGAACTTTTTTCCATTGGAGTCATGATGGTCTGTAAGATTTCAGCACAAAAAGAGAGTTCAGCTGCTCCAGTGTTTCTCAAAATGTGGTGCATGTTCCACTGGTGTTACATGGGTTTGGGGCAGAGGTGGGACCAAGTTGTGTTTTGCAAGTCTCAAGTAAGTCTCAAGTCTTTGACCTCAAGTCCGAGTCAAGTCTCAAGTCAAATACAGGCAAGTCCAAGTCTAGTCTCGAGTCACTGGCCCATAAGTCCAAGTCAAGTCCAAGTCGTCTGCTTTGAGTTTTGAGTCATTTCAAGTCGTTAAACAGAAGTACCAAATATAGGTTAGATTTTTGCAATTTAAATGAATTTTAAACTAAATTGTACTTAAAAAATCAAAGTATATTTATCCTTAAGTATTTATATAACAGTTGTAGAGAGAGTTGTAGTTAATTTTTCCTTTTTAAATGTCTTGACAAGATCTTAATGTGAATCATTATGGACAGAATAGAAAGAATTTAGAGTTAAAAGTGCTTCTCAAGTCTTCACAAATCACATGCCTCAAATCCAAGTCAAGTCCCAAGTCTTAGTCCATTTTATCAAGTCAAGTCTCAAGTCCTGAAAACAGTGACTCAAGTCTGACTCGAGTCCCCACCTTGGGTTTGGGGTCTACTTCATTTCCATCTTTATTTATTTTCTTTAAGTAATATTATTTACGCTTTATTCTTGCTTTAAAGATGAGTCTTATAAGTGTTTTAATGTTCCACAGTATGGCATTAGATTACAGGACAGATCTGTGGAGAGACTGCTCCATGCACAGTAAAAATTCATGTTTTTCATTTGACTGTATTTCTTTTAATACAACACAAACACTTGCAACTGGATAAATGCACAATTTCTTTAGGCTTTACATCTCCATGGACTCAGAATACATCCCTAAACTACACACTCCTCATTTTCCTATCACAGTTTTGTAAAGTACTCATTTGTGAAGTACCCATATACCCTTACCATCTATTGTGTGGCCTGGAACAAAGATTGGGAATTATATTACAACCATCTGCAAAGTGTTCACTGGCAACTTTATCAGAACGAGCAAATTGATCTCTTGAAGTTTGTGTTGGAAAAGGCCAAATTGGGCAGGCTTCCCCAGCACATAGATCACCTGCTGTCACCTGACACTTTTGATAGATACTGACCACTGCAGACTACGCCACCCCACACGAGCTGCAGACAAACATTTGATCAAACTTGTTCAACTTTGAGAAGAATAAAATCTATTAGGACATACTATCTCAGAGCTACTGTTTTTCACTAATATGTAAACCATATACTGCAAAAAGAAATGGACTAAGTGACATCACCCATAGTGTTTGGCTCCAGTCAAATGAAGCTCATGATTCTAGTAGTTATGAGGGAATAAGTAAAAGAGAAATTTATTTACGGACAAATTAATGAAATAAAAACACTAGGATCATGTAGAGTAGATTAATACAAATATTTTAATACCAAATTACGAAGCACCCAGCAGCAGTTACAGAGAGAGGGGAGACAATTTTTCAATGTAAAGTCAAGTGGAGCCAGAGTCGATGGAGCCAGAAGCAGCCCCACGAACACTTCCTATTTGGAACACCATGTCAAAATAAAAGTCTAGTTTTAAGTGACAATTCTGGAAATGTCAAATGTTTTTTTTTTCTCCGGATGTCAGAACAATTCTTCATTTATTTTTTCAACCATGAATCATCTGTGTCCACATTTAAATAAAAACGAATGCCACAACAAATATTATGTGATTGGGCTCTGTTCGGCCTTGCGCTCTGTGTCCGCAGCAGTCAGCGGGTAAATTGAAAAATCAATTCCCATTTAAATTATTGAAATAAAGAACTCCAGGAGCCAGAGATAAAAAGGAAAGAAAAAACCCTTGGTGTAGATCCCCTTTAATTGGAAAGTCATTTCTTCAGGGTATTCTAATGGTTCGGAGGAAGATTGCAAACTAAAGTTGATGAAGCTGGAGGGAGGTTAATAACTGTGTGCTGTTTGTGTGTGTCTGACCCTGCATGTTGTCTTTGGTGCGCAGCCGTCGCCTTCTGATGACACGAGCGCCAATGAAGAGTAATCCACCACCTCTCTCTCTTTCTCTCTTTTTCTCTCTCTTTTTTTTCTCACTCTCTCTCTTTGTCTCTCTCTCTGTCTGTCTTTCTCTCTCTCTCTGTCTCTCTCTCTCTCTCTGTCTGTTTCTATCCTTGTCTGTTTCTATCTCTCTCTTTCAGTCTTTCTTTCTCTGTCTTTTCCTCTATCTTTTGGTCGCTCACTCTCTTTGTCTCTCTCTCTGTCTTTCTCTCTCTTTCGCTTTGTCTCCCTCTCTCTCTCTGTTTCTATCTCTCTCTTTCAGTCTTTTTTGCTCTCTCTTTTCCTTTATCTTCCGCTCTCTCTTTCTCTCTCTCTCTCTCTCTTTCTCTCTCTCTCTCACACACACACACACACTCTCTCTCTCTCTCTATCGCTCTCACACTCCCTCTCTGTTCCTCCCCCTCTCTCTCTCTCTGCCATCTTCTCTCTCTCTCTGTCACCCACTCTCTATCCCCCTCTCTCTCTCTGTCTTTCTCTCTCTCTCTTTCCTCCCTCTCTCTCTCTGGCTGTTTCTAGCTCTCTCTTTTCTTCAATCTATCACTCTCTCTTTCCACTCTCTCTCTCTCTGTTTCTATCTCTCTCTCTTTTTCTCTCTCTTTCAGTCTTTCTTTCTCTCTCTCTCTCTCTCTCACACACACACACACTCACTCACTCATGCTCTCTCTGTCTCTCTCTCTTTCTCTCTCACACACGCACACACACACACACACGCTCTCTGTCCCTCCTTCTCTCTCTCTGCCCCCCTTCTCTCTCTCTCTCTGTCACCCTCCCTCTGTCCCCCTCTCTCTCCCTCTTTCACTTTCATTCTCTCTCTCTCTGTCTCTATCTCTTTCTTTCTCTTATTCTTTCACTCTTTCTTTCTTTCTTTCTCTCTCTCCCTCTGTCTCCCTCCCTCCCCCTCTCTCGCCTGTGGTCATCCATCTGCTATCTGGGGGAGTGTCTCTCAGCTCTGGGTCAAACTAAATTAACCAGCCCTCGCTCACAATTGTACAAATGTAATTGACTTAATAGAACTAACCCTGGTGATTTGGAAGGCTGTGGTCGTGAGTAATTTTGTCCGAGCTCAAAGACAGACACTTCACATCTGAAGCATCTTCCAAAGCTAATATACCACTGATGGATTGTGGGATCAAATGAAGATTGTGTAGCAGATAATAGAAAAGTGGAAAGTGGTAATAACATTGGATTTGTGTGATTTTGAAATTAAACTGAGCTCAGAGGAAATCCACAAAGTAACTGGTGTGGTTCTTGTTTACTCAACTCATGTTTTCATGTTTTAATATTGTCAAAACAAACACTATGCATGTGTAATGGCAACTGAAAATTATAAGACAATTATATGAGAACACAATCTGAGGATGTATGTATGTATGTCGAATATACGAATATATATATATATATATATATATGATTCAGGCTTAATAACTACTTAATTAAAGAGTTATTAGGGTTAGGAGTTAACTTTAGGGTTTTAATTAAATAGTAACCAAACCTGAACCATTCTTAATTAACGGTTTGTTTATTATAAATTCAGTTTTTAATCATGCTTCATTAAGTCTAATTAAAGTGTAGTTACTGTAAAGTGTACCACATTTTATAATAAATAATATATTGGACATGCACAATCACTACTTTTATAATGCTGTAAGTGAGAAAAGTCTAATGTAGTGACAGACTGCTTCTGTTCCTTTCAGCTTTTTCCTGTTCACAGCAAATCCTTACTTTGTATACGTGTATATAGAATTTGATTTGTGATAGTTTTACTCTAGACCAGGAGTGTCAAACTCAAAGTCACACTTGATCAAAATGAAAAACTGGGACTAAGTCACGGGCCAAATTAAATGTTTACTGAAAAATTACAACAACAGCTGCATATTTTCTCTTCTTTCAAGATCTGTACTGTTAAAACTTTTCTTATTAAAATAAATGTTTAATGATAGTTTTGCTTAAACATTGAATCCAGAACAAACATAATATAAAATAATAACATTTTAAATACATAATGTCTCTATAGACTATCTGTGGCTGGCGGGCCAGCTCTAATACATATTGGATATGATTTTGTGGGCCAAATTTGGCCCCCGGGCCAGAGTTTGACATGTCTGCCCTAGACTTTCATCCAACCCAACTGGACCAGTACAAACTGAACACTAAAGTGCTGATTAAGACTGGGCCAATTAGGTCACTTCATGTATCTGTGTAGGCTGGTTTATGTATTTATTTGATATGAACAGCAGTATATAGTGTGTTATATTGTGAAAGGGCCCATATTACACTGTTTTCTGATATATATAATAATAATGTTGTTTCCTCATCACAAACATACCTGGAGTTTTGTTTTGTTTCATTCACACATTTCACACCAAACCTGCACACTGAGCCTGAGTTCTTTTCTCAAATCATGTGTGGTACGTGCTCCCTTGTGTTTTTAAACTCGAAACACATTTGCTATAATTTCAGTTCTGGAATTACCAAGCTCTACATAACAAAAAGTAAAAGGTTGCTATTAACTTGAAAATTCCTGCTTCGTGACATGACAAGGTGCAACAGAGCATTTAGGGCTTTGGAGATGCAGACAAACTCATAATGCAGGATTACTCAAACAAGCGTGAATGAAACAAAACACAACTCGAGGTATGTGTTTGGCGAGGTAGCAACATTCTAACATGGCTAAACACTCACAAGAGTCAATTTTAACAAGAGTCAACCTTTAACATGCAATTTCATACCACACATGTCAATTTGATTCCATTTTGCCTTCTGAATTTTTGTACACACATATGACCTTTAAGTCACCACAGTTCCTCTTTTCATCACACACACCAGTCTAGTCTTATTTGTCCAAGTTTCCCCTGAACATAATCACTCTTGAATGCCACAATCGTTACCACCTAAAAAGACAAATCTAACTCAAATGGCACAACATTGTTCCCTCTATAGCACATGGCCTTCTCTTCAGACACTAGCGTACAAATGAATCCTTGTAGTTCTCCCTCCCCACTCCCTAAACCTGGCCCAAGACCTTTCTGCATTAGCTTGTTGACATTAAAGCAACGCTAGTCTGAGGCATTTCCATTGAAGAAACTTGTTGACATAGTTATCAGGCATCAGAGAGTCTTGCGTCATTGTGAAAAGGGCCTTACGAGAGCTATTGAGATGTTATAGGTCGTGTTGGCGCCAAATATCACAAAAGGATGAAGAGGATACGAACGCGCATTGACTGAAAAAGACCGCGTTGGAAAAACCTGCATCTCTGGAGAAAGGAAAGCGCTTGGATCCATTTCCGCCGGAGAAGCGCCGAGTTAAAAGGTGGCCCCTGTACAAATGAAACTCAATTTCACGGCACATTATCCCTCCCCTGTTCTCTTCCCTGGCTTTCATTTTCATTAAGACCAGAGACAATCATAAATTAATAATTACTGTCCAATGTCTAAGCGCATGCCACAGTCCTCTAGCCTTCCTCCTTTTAGCCTCTGCACCCGCTCTCCATGTTCACGCTTGCAAAATGTTAATCTAGGTAAACGTGGCTGGGCCCTTGTCAGATAAAAGTGTTTTGTAGTTTGGCTAATACATAATGGTGGGATCTGATTAGGTGACATTAGTTCTATCTGTAAGACAATCACCCTGCACCTCTCTAATGTCCCTCCAGCATCTCGGGGCACTGCTGAGTAATCAGGGGACGGACAACATTACGGTGGAGGCTAAATGGATATATGGTCGACTATGCCTGGTGATAAAACGCACATTACACACATTACCAAGGGTTAAAGGGAAACTACGCCATTTCATTCTTGGTTTGTAGGTTAGCATATTGTAATTCGAATGCTCCGTAAGAGTAAGGCCATAAGAAAGCACACAGTTTTTTTTTTTTTAGGTTTAAAGGTTTTATATTATGAAAAATTTACTCTTATGAGGTTGAGTCATACTACAGTAACATTTAGTCAACTTGTTTCTATAGTGGTAGTGTATTCGTCATTCATAAAGTTATATTTATGCTTTTGCTTTTCAGAGGTCACTTTGCTTTGGTTTGGCGGATAGTTAAGATGTGACTTAGGTGCCTGGACCATTTCCTCCTGATTGTCTGTTCCGTCTGCTCCGTGATTGAAGGTTGTTTCTGAGATATAACATTTGTACGACTCTGGACTACGTTTGATTTGTGTCACTCCGCTTGCTCTTGCTCCTGTCGTCTCCATGGAGCGTACATACAAAATGAATGGAAACTGGTTACTTGTATAATTTTAGGTGTGAGTTTACCCGTTCACATAGACATGACGTTTCTATTACTTGTGTTAGACGCTGCTGATAGTGTCATCTCACTGACAATGGTGGTTAATGTATGGGTGACGGTAGCTCAGTTGGTGTTTGCCCACTGATCTGGAAGTTGACGGTTTAAATCCCGCTCTAGACATAAATATTATTTTTAGAGCAATTTGATTCACTGACCCACTGTTGTTGAGTCCTTGGGCAAGGCACTTAAGCCACATTGTTCCCAGTGTGTGCGTACATTGGTGTATGAAAGTGTATGTGAATGTGTGAGTGGTTCCTTGATGTAAAGTACCTTGAAGGAGGAAATAGTTATATAAAAATGTGACTATTTTCCATTTTGCCATCATGCTCAGAACTTAAATATAGATGATGATGAAAATATATGTTAAAGATGCACTACTTCACTTGAAAGGTCTGCTGTATTTAGTTCATTATAGGTGTTCTGGGTTACAGGAAAATACATTCTAACAGTGTGTGAGTGGGCTCGCCTCTCCACAGATTTGACCTTTAAGTTGGCCTGGTGCTTGTTTTCATGAAAATACAATCTCTCTATTTCTCTCTCTCTGACCCTCTAAAAACGTACACAGTGCACTTCCATAACATCTTCATAAAAAAAAAAAAAAACATTCAGAAAAAAAGATTCAACATCAAGAATAAAATGGAGTTGGATTGTCATGATTATGAATCCCCAATAAAGTACAAAAATACATTCAAACCTCTTTCACAGTGTGACGTCAAGCTAAGCCGACAGTGAAATTGTAGCTGGATCAGGCGGAATAATAACGTCTGTGTGAAGTCTTCATGAGCACATCTCAGCATCAACACAAGTGTAAATAAGTGTTTCCCATACACTGCAAATGCAGTCATTATGTTGTCTACACACCACGGCAACGCCAAACAACACAGCCATATAATGCACATTTGGTATTTAAAGTCGCTGTGCCTCATGGTCATATTTGTTCTGAATTGAATTTATTACAAAATGCGCGGTGATATGGAACATGTAGCTCGGGGGGCCTCTTGCTTTTCCCGAGTGTTCAAAAGGCATCAGATAGCGAAATAAACAGAATGTCTAAGTAATAGCTTTTAATCTTCTGTTTCAGAAAAAAAAAAGAGAAAAAAGAATAGAAAAAAGCAGGGATGTGAAATCAGGGCAAGGGCCGGTTTACATGGGAAATATAAAACATATAATAATGACACTTTTAGCAGTGTAAAAATGTCAGTTTCATAATTCAGTTTATTATTTTGGGTACAGCTATGTTTGATGTTATGTGTTTTCACCTTTTTTCCTTCTTGCAACAACACTTAAAGGGACACTTGAAGATGGTTGTAAGACATTTTGTGGATCATTCAAGGTGAAACAGCATCATCTCAACAGAGAATAAAATGCTTCAAACTCTCATTCAGAAGTCTCACATAGTGTTCTTTTAAACCTACTTCACTATATTGACACTGGTACCTGAAATGAACACTAAAAGTTGTGGTGCAGTCTAAGCAGGGACTTTCAGACTTCCCTGACCCCAGACACTTCCTCCAGCTCCTCCCCAGCCCCCCTCGCAGAACATGTGCCAAAGTGCCAAAAACAAAACATGAACTAATGACATATTTGAAAACTTTATTCATATCTCAAATTTGAAGTAGAAGAGTGCATACCAAAAACCTATGGAAATGGATTTTCCACCCTTCATTTGCCTTTCTTAAATCAAAGTCAAGTCTAGAAAGATGAGACTTTGTTACATTGTTCTCCATCACAAATAAGCTCTCAGTACTTTGTCCACTACAAACAGATTTTTTTTAAGAGGGATCTGTCCTTTTTTTTTTTTTAAATAGCTGCTTGATTTGCATATTATTGCGTCAGGCTCACAAATCTACACACATACTTATTGGGTTCTTTTCAATCAAAAGTTTATACATGTTTAAAAACAATGACCAGTGCTTAACTTTACCAAAGAACCTTCATTTAAAGAGATACCAATATTTTAAAATAGTTTTTAATTGTGCTGTGCTTTACTTTTTGTTACCCTTTTTTTTTTTGCCCACTTTGAGTAAGTTATGGAAAAATGTGAAAGAAAAATGTGCTTTTTAATCGTATTTAATTCCTAAATCTTTTCAGTATGTTGTCCAGTGCAGTTCAGATCAAATGCAGTGTCTTAAATGGTTGGACTAAGCTCAGCTGAATTTACATATTTAATTTAAGCATTCTTTCATAGCACTGCAGTAAAAATAGACAAGGATAGTCATTAAAAGCTGGAGTGGGTTTGATGTCAGACTTTTTATCACTCGACAATGAACTTTGAAAAGGAACAGCCACAGTCTAAACGGAGCTGGAAGCGTGCCTTTATGATTGATTGCCCATTGTGTGTCATATTGTTCTTTCAAGGTTGATTGAAACTTTAACCTCATTTTTTATACCGAGCCGGAAAAAAAGGCTTGAAAAATTCCAGGCCTTGAATTATTGTTACTTACAATGCAGCATTGAATTATGCAGCAATCAGTCAATTATTCATCTGTGTGACTGTGTTAAGGCCACGCTGTAAAAGGCATTCAGATTCAGGGGAACGGCCCAGTGCTGTGTCAACACATTTCACTCAGAAGTGCTTACCAGAGACATTTGTTTCTCAATGTCAGTTTGGTGTTTTTGATGCATTTTAAAGCTATACCTGTTAGTACTTTATTCACAAATGATCCCCCAGGGCACCTATTGTTTTATTAGACTAACACTAATATTGCCTTTGGAATGAGAGTGTGAATAATAAGAGGATTCACAAGGGCAAATAGCAAGAATGAGTTAGAAAGGTATAAATGAATGCTGACACAACAGGGACTAAAAACAGTGAATATTTCATCTACAGAACTGATATATATGCAACCACTCAAGAGCTGAACTACTGTATTCATATTGTAGTTTGCATGAAACTCATAGTTGGAGCCATAACTTTGCAAAACTTTATCATTGTATATACATTCATGCTACAGACTATGATTCACACATACTGAACATAAAACAGATTTTGTGTCCATTTGGCAATTAATACAAAACAATAAAATGATTAGATACCAAAAAATGCCCAAAAGGTACTACCAAATTGTTGAACTAATGACACAGAATTATATTACTAATTTTTTGGAAAGATGAACACAAAACATAGTCATTTTAAAATGCCATTAATTAATTTTCATTTATCATCTAATTGTGGAGCGCAGTTTACACAGGATTTTTATGACACCCACACTCAAAGACGTACTATCATTTTCTTGTCAGTAATTTACCGAATAGCACATGTACAAGCTTTGTACTTTGTAATCATTTGCTTTCTATTAATGTCTGACCAAACTTATTTACAGCATTTAACCCAAAAGCAAAAAAGAGCACTTTTTTTTTTATCATCAACATGTTAACTTTATTTGAATTTGAAGTACAATGAAGAGATGATTCGAGAAGCTATATAAGTTATCAGTGACAACAGACCTAGACACTCCATTGAGAACAAAAAGAACAAACACAATGTGAACATGGGACACTTCTCTTGCTCTGGGTTCCTCCTCCCATTCTCTGATTGTAACACAGAAAGTCTAAACTGCAGTGACATCAGCTTATGTCTAGTTATTATACACAGGTGTTTCAGCACCAAAAAGTCTTCAAAACCTCTTTAGGGAAAGCAATGGGAAATGTCAACTTAAAATGAGAATTATTTTCCATCAAGATACCATGAAATACGAGTAGAAAAGAAGTTTGGGATTAGCAAATGTACTGTCTTAAAGTTGGTTTGATTTGATTGTTTTTCTTTTTTTCAGCTCATCACATCATTTTGCATGTACGTTTTATACAAAGCATTGGAGTGTGTGACTGACATGGCAAAATGTACAGTTAATCCCAAGAAATATTTCCTTTGTTACAAATATTACAGTACTATTGAAAGTCTTCAAAGTGAAAGTATTGGATATCATGTGGTCAAAATCATGGCGGGGTCGCTCTTGTGGGCCGACCCGCTGGATTCGCTCAGCACATTATAGGATTTATTAAATATGATAATTCCAGGACAAACATTTACATGCCTGCATGCTTTCTCACCAAAATGGCAGCTATAGGAAAAAGGAGGATGGCTCAGAAATAGAAGGAAACTGAACTGCGGGTTTATATAAATGGTGGTATTGTTTTGCCTATTAGCGCTAACTGCATACACAATACCTCTTAACGATATATACACATACGCCACCAATCCACTCAGTGTGATAGAGGGACATCTCCTAGCATTATATACAACATTTGTAAAAAGGAAACTTGATTGTATTTTCATCTAATTTAGAAAAACTTCAGTCTTTTTCTTTTGCTAAACACATGGATACGATTCACAATTTGTCTTCCTCCTCTCCACATTCTCCATGTTTTAGCTTGTCGAAAATTCAAATTGAAATACAAAACAAAAAACTTCAATTTTACTTTCGAAGCTTTTCTCGCTGGCTGAGGATACAGTATAAAAACTTCAGTGCTGTGAATTGGAGTTATTACCAACAGTGTACCATTGGTAGGGTTTGACTGTGCTCAATATAGTATGTGTGTGTGTCTGTCACATTGGCCAACCATTAATAAAACTGACTTTAGCAATCTACTTCATATTGGCCTCAGTGAGAAGACGAGTTTTCCTACATTCAACCTCCAGCGTTTGGGTGAACACATCCCTACAAGCAGCTTGACATTTTGATAGACTAAACCAGGCTCTTTAAAATCTCTATGGGTTTTCCCTCTTGTTTTTATTATTATTTTGAAGTATTTTTTCTCTTTCAGATCCTCAGCCTGATCAGTACATCACTGTAGTCTTCAGGAACAGTCTTCCATCTGCAACACACAGAGAAGAGAGAGGTTAGATAAAATATCACACCCAACCAAGTGGACTGGATATGTTAAAAGATAGAAGAAAGAGGAAATGAAATGAGGTGCAATGGTATAAAAAAAAAAAAAAAGTTCTTTAGACAGTATTATTGAGAAACTGAGACATTTTTTTAACCTTACAGAAGAAAACAAAAAACAATATTGGATAAGTTGCAAAAAGGCAAGATATTTACATAATAATAGACTTGTGTTACTAGTATATTCATTTAAATTATATGTCTTAAAAAAATACACATGTTCACTTTTGGTGCAGGGGTGCAGCATGAATTTCTGTCCCCTGGGTACAAACCATGGGCCGCGGTACCCTTTATTTCCCCAGTCCAATACTCCTGCTTTTGGCTCTATAAATACTGTTTACATAATCACAATTACAATTACTTTTATTCATCCACAAGAGGAAATTATATTCCATTACAAATATTTGCAGTTTCAGAAATAATGCCGCACCTACTAAAAGAACAAAAAAGTAGTTGTAAGGCCGAACCCTTTCCCATTTATGAGCAGATTTATAGCTCAACTGGGAGAGCATTTAGCCCAGAATTCAGATATTTAATCACAGGAACTATTTACTGCTTCTGCTTTTTCAGCAGGATTTCCTTTTTGATGTATTTTTGTACACTGATGCATATTTGCGTCCATGTTCGGTACACCATTGACCTAAGTGTTGATAAATAAACTACCATTAAAAAGAATCTTCCACAAAGACCATGACAGATATGAATCTTGGCACCCTCGATAAAATATAGTTAATATTACATAAAGCAAATGCCTATGTATTTAAGTAATTATATGAACTACAGTCAGAAGCTGCAAATATAATTAGCCTGTAGTGTTAATATTTCATGAGTAACAAAGCAGAAGCGGTGACTATCATAACTGCTCAGGAAGCATAGCACAAGTGTTTAAGACATCTCCACTGATGCGCTTGTTTGAACAGAATACACCACTCATGATGTAGACCCTCTCGCTCTAAGTGACATCGGCCGCATTGGAAATAGTGCTTATTGAAAATGGCACCAGCAGACACCTCCAACCGAACGAGCTTTGTCCATATACACTCTTGTCTTTCGGTGTTGTGTTCGCTTGAGCGCACAAGTCCGACTCCCCACACCGCGCTGGTAAAAGCATCTGTTAGACTCAACCCAAGAGCGCATTTGACGTTTATTACCTCACCATTTCCGCCACCTCCATGTTGTTTCTCTCTCTGCCAGTGAGAAGAGGAGAGAGCTACAGTAAATGCCTTTATAGGAAGAGTCTCGATGGCAGCCGGCCTAAATAATTCAATGTTAAAGAGGAGCGCACACAAAGACGTTTAGAGGCGCCAACTTGTTAGACATGACACAGGCTGTGTGAGACATAGTTTGATTCCTGGTCTACAGAGGCAGGTGCTCGCTATTTCTCTAGGAGTTCTTGTAGTGCACAGTGAATTATAAGGATGATTAAATTTATACAACAAAACCACAAAAATGTATCAGTAATCTAACAGTTTATTCATTCATTCAGCAATGTAAAAGTAACTTCACTTGTTTAACCTGGTTTAGGACCAATTAGGAGGAATCAAGGTGTAAGTAATAGTACTGAAACACATTGAAACAAGTATCGATACTAAAAAAATATTACTCAAACAGAACCACCAGTCTTAGTCTCAGTCTTAGTCTAGCTTTATCAAAACTAGTACAAAACCACATGGTAATTATGATTATTTTGTTATGAAAGTTTAATTTTATTGACCAAAGAAAACAATTATTACTGTTTAAAGTCTATTATTATTGTGGTATTGAAATTGGTACTGTGTATCAAGAAAATTTCTTAGTATCAAAATTTAGTTTGTGTGTACAATGATCACATTTTACAGACCAATTCAAGACAGTTCTCTTGTATTATTCAACCTTTTGAAACAATTGTAGATAGCAATGAAAAGTGAATTACTTAGAGTTTTAGAAAGTTCAAACGAAGTCTTGAGACAAAATTTTTACCCAGGCAAATGACAACATGAGTCTATGTAAATCAACATGCGTATACAAATGCAAATACCTTAATATAGTGTCCTTAAATACTTAATCATATTTTGTAACAAAGACAATGCTCTTTCAAGTGTTAGTGTGAGCTACAATAGGGGTGTAAACTGTGTAAGTATGTATGTGTTATGAGTTGGTACCAGCGGAGGGGAGGGTGGTGGGTGGGTGAGGAGGGGGGTCTACAAACACACAGGCTAATTACCCAGCACTGCCGTAGGTCTCAGAGGCATTGCACTCTGGCTTGCATTTATTCAAGCAACAACCACCGAGTTCTGTGTAAAAGTCATTACAGCATAACACGCCAGGCTACAAATAACATAAAGGTGGTGGTGGTAGTGGTGGTGGGGAGGGGTAGAAGTGTGGGCTGAGAAACACAGGCTGCTAACATACAGATTCATAAGCATGCATTTAAGTTGTCATGTCACTGTTGGACTATCTATAGCATTTGCAGCTGGAAGAGTTTATAGTGTTAACAAGTGGAAATCCATACAAATATTTCAGGCCAGTTCATCTCTTAAAGTGCAAACTCGATTCCAAATTTTGAAACTGTAAAATCCTAAAATAATTAAACGTCAGTCAATGCAATTTTCTTTCACAGGTTTGATAAAAAGTATATATGGCAAACTAATATACTTATTTGGTATATACAATTAGCTGTTTAAGCTATAACTCTGTATACATTAGTTATATGAACTGTTTATTAACAATTTTATTACCTATTAAAGCCTTCTTGTTGGCTTCCTTTACCACTTGATAAGCTTTCCTGTATATTGTATAGAGATAATGAAAGTCTAAGTATCTACATGCCATTTACTGCTGCTACTCTTATTCAGAAGAGGTGTACTTTCATTGTACACCTCTTGTAGTACATGTAATATTGTGAAATATTAGCACAGAGTATGAAAATCTTGCCTCACACAGAAAGTCAATGACGTTTCCTGACACATTGTTTCATAAAAGGCAGGGGCTCATTAAAAATATTTTCAAACTTCAGTATTTTTATATTCAAATCAAGATGAAAAGTTCATTAAAGAGGATAAATATTTCATTAGATGCTAAATAAAACAAAGGGAATTTTTTGGCTTCTCTCAGCATAAAATTCCTTTGAAAGATTAATTAATACATGTAAATTATGCAAATTATGCCCATGCAAATATTTTATGAAGACAATTAAGGGATCCATTAATTACAGTCTTTTTTGCTTCAGTGACATTCATTCATTTAATTTTAATTTCACTTTAACTGTTTTGATGTTTAATCTTGCAACAAAGAACTTTATCTCGGGGAGTGCAAGCTGGTGGGGCTTGGGTCGCATAAACCCCGAACCAAAACGACAGAACGAAGATACAGATGATGGAGGGGGGTTTTTGAAGAGATAGGGAGGGTGAACGGTTGCCAGGGCAATACTGGGCAAGGTACAGCGCACTGTAAAAAGAACCACGCTTCCCCACTTGGACCCCATTCAAAACACTGTAAAAAGCAATTAATAAACACAGACTGTTAATATCATGGAATTAGAGGAGTGTGACAAAAGACAAATAGAAATAATTAGTTCTCGAAAATTATGGCCTCATTATTTTTTTTTCTCTCTCTCGCTTTGCATTCCCTTACTTTGGAGTTGAGACTGTACAACATGTATTCCTCTCATGCGAGTGATAGGCTGGCTACCCCCTCCCTTCTTGTCTTTTTTTTGCTTGTGTAATTTATCAACATCATTTTTTGCCATTTGAGGTTAATTATACAGCGAGGCTCGGCAAGTAGAGCAGAGGAGAGACATGGGTGGCAGACGAATGCTTCTCTCTAATTGAACAAAAAAACACAAAAAAAACTACAGCCTGTTATTTCCCGCCTTCTTCTTCTCTTCCAAACGTCGAGTGATTGAGAGAGTGGCCAAATTACACGCTCCATAGCCGCGTCACAGTGATTCTAACATGATTAAAAAAATAATAAGAAAGCTGTGACAAATATCTAATTCACATTTGTTTTATATGAGAAAGGCTAAATGTAGCAATTTGGAGCAAAATGGAGGGCTATAATTACGCTGTATCTAAATGTTATCTTTATATGTAAATCATATGGGAGCCTTTTAAGACATCAAACATGTGACTGAAGAGGATTTAATTAAAGCGTTTTCTTGGTTTATTTTCATTCGTGTTATCTAACCATTAAAGAGTTAAAGAAAAGTTATTCTAGTTTCCAAAGCAAATTACTCTGAGCGGATATGGCGAGACCCCAAGATAAGAAGGTTCAGGTTTGAGTTGTCCAGCAAATGCCTATTAAAAAACAGGAACGGTGAGAGTAATAATGAGGATATTCAAGCTCAGTAAAGGTGTCTTGTATCTGGGTAAACACAGATAGTGAGACAGTCTACAGAGGTTATCCTGCCAGCAAAGCCCCTCCCCAAACACATACTGCACCCCCAAGGCTAACAAACAAACAAACCATTAAAAATGTACAAGGCTTATTCATAAAATGGATTGATTTGGCCCGTTTATTACTATCAAAGGGGGGATTCCGCTGCTTTTTGTGGTTTTATGACTCATTAATGCTTTCAGAGCGGTAAACAAAACATCTACTTTCCCTCCTTATCGGCAGCCTTCTAGATTAGCTGTTTAACTATTTTACTTACTGTGCAATTCTGGTAACACAACATAACAAAACAGTTCATGACGTTCGGTATTTTGACGTTTTTTGGAATAGGTTTTCAAAATTATTTGGAGCAGACATGTAATCGCTAAATCTTTTTCATTATTAGTAGTGACGGTATCTGTGGGTTTCAGAGTGAGTAATAAAGACCATGGTTGCCATAGCAGTTAACAATTCAAAACTAAATTGTGAAATTTCCTCACCTTTTAACAGGAAGTTGAAACCCATGAACTGTTGTTTGAGTCACTGTATTAGCGGTACAGTATTAAGAGCTGTAAAGCAGGTATGACTGCATCACTCGTATCACCTTAGTACTTGTAATACTACACATACACACACATATTTTTGGATTAAAACACTTGTCTAATTAAGTACATTGTCACTATTTTCATTTACCAAGAACACATTCTATTCAATTGTTGCTCTCTGTGAAAACGCATGCATGTTTTTTTTTTGCAATATCAATATAATGCTTTTGGTTATAGCCACATCCGTGACCTATGCACAGTACATGTTACACTGCACTTTGTGGGAAACTTTAAAACAATATTAAGTTGGTGAAAAAACAATGATCTTGACCCAGCGCGGTGGCCCAGATGGCGAGCTGTATGCCAGAACAGCAGGCTCAGGAGCACTAATGTTCATAAACCGTGTGTGTGCTCGCGTGCATGTGTGTGTGTGTGGACGGGAGGGGTGTGGAAGAATGAGAGCCAGAGAAAGAGAGGGAGATTTATTGTCTCATCTGAGGCCTGTACCTTGTATTGTCCTTTCAGCATCTGTTCTGGCACTGCTGCGGTCACTCTCCATCTCAGGGGTCAGAGCGTCTGCAGAGGAGAGAAGGAGAGGAGCCGTTAAACATGTCTGACACACACCTATCAGCGTGCCACCTCCACTGCATCGCTCAAACACAACAAGAGCCACAAGCCCTCAGGCCCCATGTGAGCGAGTGGACCACAGGCTCAAGTACACTAGTGGGCAGCTTAAGATCAAGTACACATATGAAAGCCTTTAAGATGAAGAAAATGAGTATGTAGTTTAAGTCATTAAAGAAAACTGCAACTAAAATATCCTTACCAACATACTACTTGCTACTAATAACTACTAATACGAATATAAAAAATGTACACTCACAAGACCAGGTAGTATCAGCAAAATTCACATTGTACTTTTACCTGAATAGCTTTAGAACGTTCCTAATCTATATCTGGACTAATATACAATTGCATTATATCATTAGCTACTACTACTTCTACTAATGTTATTCAAGGGTCTAAAAAAGGTGGGATTGTGGTATCAAAATTAAGTCTTAAATCTTGAAACTTGAGTTTGAAATTTTAATATTGTGACACCACTACTGGATATTATGCTTGTAGAGACCATAGACATTGTTGTCATTGCAGTAATTAGTAATAGGAGATAGGATTTAGCAATAGCAAGAAGCAGCAGTCATGTAGTATAGTATAACAGAAGTGTTAGTAAGATTAAACTAGTAAAACTAAAAGTTTTAATTTGCAAAAAACAAATCTACCTTCTTCACATATTTTCCCGAACACCTTTAATTTAGTTATAGTATAAAAAGTAATGGTATTTATCTGTAACAAAAGTGCAGACTTTACTTGATGGTTAAAATGATGTCTTAAGGTAAATGATGAGAGACTGGAAACACTTGATCATATTTGTGAGCTGTTCTGTTTTTTCAGCACCTTCTCTCAGTAAACTGACTGCAGCTGTCACATAAGACTGTCTGCAAATAGGCTTGTTTGAAATGCATTAGAATTCATAGTGTGCCTCGAAAACAATACAGAAACTTTTGTAAAACTTTTGGCAATATCAGAAAACCAGAATACTTTAGAAGATTATGTGTGTTTTGATGGGTTGTACTGACCGTTGAGTGAGCGCATGCTGTCTGATGGGGAAGGCTGCTTCAGCGTCTGCTCCACCTGCTCTCGTCGCTTGGACTCGTACTCTAGCGCCTCCTGCAGTTTCCTCTTGGCCTTCTTCTCTTTCTTCAGACGCTTTTGGATAATGGCTGCAACACACACACACAAAAAAGGTTTTACTTTCACAATATGTACTGTGTCAAAGTTTTAGTAGGTTAGAGTTCAACACAACAGCTGCTGCCGAAAATGTATTAGTAAAGTTTTAGTTAGGTTTAAAACGGCATTAACTAAAAGTGCTGTAATTAATATCGAAAGGTCCTTTATTTTATTTATTCATTATTCATCATAGCTAGTATTCAGATCTCAACTTTGCTCACTAAAAATCTTTATGTACGTTACTTAACATTGTGAGATATAGGTTATGAGGTTGAATAAACAGAGCATTCTAGGCACTAAATTGTTAACATTGTATTAACATGTGTAAATAGGCCAGTCTTTGTTCAGAGTCTGCTTTAAACATTATTGAGAAGTGGGGCAACATAAATGAGAATACAATAATACCACTGTTAAGACAAAATTCAATTATGTCTACAATTTAACAGCTAGAGGGAATTAACAGTGGCTGAAAAATGCATTGTGATATTTTTTCATGAATTTCTCTCATTAAACATAAACGACTCGCTTAGACTCCGAAGCTGATGCATTTAACATGAGCCCGGGTGAATTGAACTAAGTTAATGTGTATTTTCAATTATGTTAACGTACTACAAAAGGGCAGAGGCGCACTAAAGCTGGATCACTGTAGTCAACATGTAACAAGAGGAATGTGCAGCGGGTTCTGTCACTATTTCAATAAGACACATTAAACATGCATGCAGCAGACTTGTATGTGCACTCAGAGCCTATCACATGGACACGCGCACAGGGCTGAAGTCAGACAAAAACAACATGGCCGACCTCTGTTCTTCTGCTCCATGGCCAGCTGCTTCTCCAGAGTCTCCCGAACTTCCCTCTCTCTGAACAACTCCATCTTCAGCTCCGTCTTCTCCAGCTGCACCTGCTTCTCCTGGGCCCGCGCGTTGTCGATAGCCACTTTCAGCAGGCCCTGGACACACAAATAGCGGGAAATAAACAAATTAATGAGATCAAATCAGCGTGTTTTGCTTACACTGGGAGACACTTCCTGTTTGAGATTGTGAAATAATTATGTTGGTCAAAATGTTTAGAGGTAAATTAATCAATGAAATTAGTGGTCCTTTGGTCAAAAGTTCAGTAACATTGGAAAGGATTTTCTTTCTTGTGTCATGCACTTCAGCTTGTATGATTAATTTATTTGTAGCATAAATTATAAATCATTTATATTTATTTTGTGTTTATTTACTAAATAATGAGACAGTTTAATCCCTCATTCGTCCAGAACTTGTTCAGTGTAGAGACAGTTTTCACAATGGTCATCTGGACATTGTTTTTGTGAAAAGCTTTGATCACTGTCCAGATGACCATTGTTACTAAATAATGCTGTGAACTTTCCTAAGGACTATTCCACTGTTACAGCAAAACAACTACCTCACAAGAAGCATTCCGTTTTGGGACGTTTAGACAAGCTCAGGATGAAACATGCATATGTGGGACTTTATTTTCCAATCAGATGTTGATAATTATTAACTGGACAAAAGGACAGATAACAAAAACGCTTTTCTCTCTAATCCTTTTCAGTCATTCTTTTGTCTCTTTCATGATACTGTTGTTGTCTTTCATGAAAGAAAAAAAGCCCACTTTTTGATCTTGTATATATTCATTTTAAAACTTGAAAAGGCCCACGAAAAAGAATTTGGAGTGTTTGAAATCAGGCACGCTGCAGTCTGGCCACAGTGTACTGCCAGAGCACTTAACTCTGACTTTCCTTTTAGCACTTGGAGGCACAAAGGCACTGTACAAATCCGTCAAAGTAAACCGGATGACACCAAGTTCAGTGAGCAGAGGCTAACAGGGATCGCGCAGGCAAGGTCACCACAATAGCTCCTTCTGATACCTTCAACATTTCATCCTTTGGAGTTCCCCCTTCATCTTCTTCTTGACTGACTGCTGTATTATGATAAATACATTGAGACAGCCTCTTTCAAGCTTAGCGAACAGCTCAGCAAGAATGAATAATATGAATGACAAGTTTCTCATCATGTGTCTGTTATCCCAAATAGACTCCTGATAGTTCTGAATTGAGACGTACTGTATACCATTACTTTCAATGCAATCTCTATGACAATAATTCCCCATCCGAACGCAATCATATCAAACGCACTGGACTATAACCTACTAATTGTTGCGTCTTCTGACCCCAATTTATTCTAAGTTGCTTTATCTTAATTTTCCGCTTGGTTTCATTTTGTTGATTTGTATATAAATATTCAACGCAGCGATCATTATCAGGGATGACTTAGTGGAGTGTTGGGAGGCTGATGACGGCGGTGTACTTGTGGCTTGCTAATTACCACTGGAAGCCAAAAGGAGATGCAAGACCGTAATGTTAGTAATACAAGTGCAAAGAGAAGGGCAGCAGTCTACTCGCATCATTACACGCAGACTAGAGGCCAAATATTTTATCTGTGTGACGCTAGTTGTTAACTTTGAAGATTAAATGGGTCTTGCGTAAAGGTATGACAATATCCAAATGGAGAGCTGCTACTGAATGTGGTGAAGTAAGTTACTACTGGCAGAGTTGTAAAAATAGATACAAGACATCAAGGATAATTAAGAAAGCAGGTTAGTGGAATGTTGTTTGTGGGTAGTACTACAGAGTTACACAAACATGTACCTCTTTGAGTAGTTTCAAGATGCTTTTACTCCCACTTGAGTAAGACATTTGACAGAGTAACAGTGCTCTTATTTGAGTAAATTTTCAGGGTTACTCTTACCACGATGTCCTATCACTAGTCTACTAGTGATAAAAAGATAGATTTGAAAATTTGTCTTTCTGTTACTTCAGACAAGTTTTTGTTTTTTTCATTTTGTGTTCTATTTTTTGATAAATGATTTTGTGTATTATTTGGTATTTTGTCCTTCCAATAACATTATCTTCAGTGTAATTTTTATTAAATTAATTATAAAGAATGTATATTTATTTACCAAATTATGCTGTAAGCTTTCCTGTAGCCTATTCCACTAGCACAGCAAATCATCTGCCTCATCTGCGCATTAAGTTTTGAGGTGTGTCACATCTAAACGAAGGATGATCCATACATATTTGGTACTTTTTTCTCAAAAGAATATTAATAATTATTAACTTGGCAAAAGCGCAGATAACATAAGACTGCTTTTCTCTCTCTTTTTTATTCATTCTTTGTCTGTTAAAGTTTTGAAACTGTTATTGTCTTTCATGAATGAAATACATTTGAATTTACTATTTAATGTTGTATATATGTATATATTTGGATATAACTTAATATTCTAATAAGATACAATGCCCAGACTCTTACTCCAGACTCTTAAAATTACTCTTACTTGAGTAATTTTATGGACAAACCAGTACTTCTACTTTGACATCAGTACAAATATTTTTAAATAGCGTTACTCTGACTTGACTACAATATTTGTATTTTACGCAGCTCTAGTATATTCACCTGAATAACACTTGCTGATTATCTAATTAAGCAGTAAATGCCCTGAGCCTTCTGAGTATCAGTGGAGTGGAGGAGCCCAGGAGTATCACTCCAGGTCAGAATACCTTAAACTAAAACTGACTAAACTGTTGTCTAGATGCACCACCAAAATCAAAAAGCTAATTTGTCCTTGATCCATTTGCAGGCCTTTCCATTTTAGCATTACATTCACAAATTACTTTTAAAGCGCTTCTTTTTTCCATCAAGTATAGTGCACTATATTTAGTGAGATACTGCACTCGCACATTTTTAAGCAGCTCCAGCCTTGTAAGTGTTTATGGGTTGTTTATTTGTACACAAGACGATACATATTTTCAATGAAAAACAGCATATCTGAGAGATTTAAGTGTCTCTTAACCTTTTCAATTCAATCAGCAATGAATAGAAAACAAGGGCTGAAAATTGTCTAATCATCAAGTGCAATAGTGTGATGTGGTTTCTTAATATATAGGTCAATAAAGTTCATAAAAACAAGTTGGGATTTGTAAATATTTGTATCAAACATATCGTTATTTAAATGTCATACTTTTATCTGTATTCTTTACAAAGTATGTGAATATTACTTTGAGTTTGTTTGGATCAAAAACAGGTTCAACTTCAATAGAAAAATTGCATGAATGTTTCTAGACTTGAACTATTCATGAGCTATGGGAGATTTGTCAAGTCAGTTCAAGTTAAATCTCAGGTTTACTTTTGCTGAGTTTACATAAGACAAGATTTGCTGTAATTTTGCAAACAGACTTTACAAGGCAGTATAATTTTAAAGCCTTAGGACAAAAGGACACACAGTTGATAGTGGATAACGCAGTACTCAGTATGTCTTGGATCAGATTACTGCTTTTTTGTTTCAGTTGTAAGTTTGCACAACTATCATACTGTTGTAGATCAGGTTAAATATAGATAATATTAGGGTAGTGTGCTCTAGTCCTTACCTGTATGTTAGTGAGCAGGGTTTCTATTGACGACAGACCATCTGGGAAGAGGAAAGGTGATGGGAAACCAGGAGGCAGACCTTGTCCAGCCAGTGATAACCGCTCATAGCTGTCTCTTGCTGTTGGGGTGCACAAGGGGTTGTCTTCTGGAAGAAAAGACAATAGAATAATTTTGATCTGATTGTTTGCATTTAAAAATACAGTATTTATGATTACCCTTTAACCCTGACTGAAACTGACCCCTGTCAGAAGTCTATCAAGAGATTTTGTGCTATTGCATGTTCTCAAGGCCTGCTCAAGAGCAAAAGGTTAAACAATATTAACCTGGACATAAATCCAGCTTCCACCCGCTTTTAAGAGATGTCATGTGTGCTCCAAAATCAGAAGCAGGCCCTGAAGTTAGACCCCAGGGGTGAGGGTTTCCTTTGTGTACGCACGCACGGCTGCCTGTCAAACCAAGATGACATCATCCACCATTCATCAGAGCAGAGGGGTAGGGCCCTGCCATCTGCTGTCCAGTCTCTCAGTGGGCTCAGAGGAGAGGAGCAGAGAGGAGGGACTAGGCCAACCACTGCACTACATGATAGATGAGAATGCAATATGCTACAGTGGGCCCCTACCAGTTTAAGCTCTATGCACCTAAAATCCATACTTGTATTTAAATGTAAATGAAGGGCAAAAATGATCTTTGTATTGCTGAGGCATGTGTGTCACCAAACTGCAGCTCCTCCAGCATTCAGCAGTGTTTATGTGGCAGACTGAGTCTTGTACAAACAGTGAGCAGAGCTGAACAGCCCTTCCTCTCCCTCCCATCAATATTCACCAACGCCAGCCAAGTGCGGGGAACAGCTGGTCTTACATTAATTAGTTTAAAGTATTTATTTCACCCATCCTCAGAGCAGATTGAGCAAAAACATTGGAGATTATTTCAAGCATCTGCAAATGCCCTGGAAACATCTCTGAGCCAAAAGTCGAGTGTTCAGATTCACAGTTTAGGTTTGTAATTTGGAGATCTTTTTTCTCGTTCATAGAGGGGAGACGTGAAATATGCACCGCTGGTCCGTGGAGACGGTAAACAACCTTTCTCTTTTTCAGATGGAGTTCACTCCTGTTGATTAATTAGAATGGATGGTTGCCTAATGGATTAAAATTTGTTTATAATTTGACTTCATAAAAATAATGAATTGCCTACTTTTAAGAAGCCACTCCTGTGGTAATTTGTTTTGTTTGCTGCAGTGCTGTCTGAGTTTACGGTGGGCGTCTGGGTGGGGATGTAAATGCACTCTCCTTATACACAGGCTCAACATGAAAGTCCTATTTTATCTCAATAACACAACTAATCAAAGATCAAAAGCATTACAGTTGGCTCCAGCTCACGTTGATATAGATGTATGGCAGGCATTATATGCATGCATCACCCACCTCCAATAAAATCACCATAACAACTGGAGACGTTAGGAGACCTCAGGGAAAGGTCTGCTGTTGGAGCTTTGTAATTGATTTGTACTGTAGGCACTTTGTCCCTTATTTAGTGTTGGCATTAATCATAAATCATTGCTTTAACAAACTCCGGCTTCCCACTCAGCAGGCCTTCCCTCCAACACTATGTTGGATCACACAGAATATTTGATGGCTTTGTTGCAGGGAAACAACCTGTCATGCTCCAGGAAAAGCAAACAGCGTGTTTTGTTCGACAGACTCCGACGTCCATACAGCACCATACAGCAGACCTGTCAGATAACATTTCCACTGGAGCTCTGCACAAATCCTGGCATGTTCAGAAAAGAGAAGTGGGCTAATAAGTGGCTTATTTAATCAATACAAATCAAAAGTGACTAAATCAAAGTAAACACACATTTATGTTGGAAAATGATCTAGATCTGTGTTTCGATGCCTCTGAGGCCCCCACCACCAGAATGAGGCGAGCCCCCGTTTTCCCAGTGCTGGCTGCAGTCTCTGGCATGTGTTTGCATGTTTATTTCTCACCATCGCTCCAGAATCATTGACTTCAACTTAATTAGAGCGACAGGCGTTGGAGTGATGGGGGCCGGTGGATTGGAGTGCTCTGTTTCCAGGTGATATTTCTCCACTAGCTCGGCTGCCAACAGCAGCTGTGACAGCCTCTTGTGCTCTCGCAGCGTACGCTAAAAGTACAGTTAAGGCCCCCACTATGAAATAGTGTGTGGAAAAACACTCACAGGTCACCCCTGTCACAAATAACATTTCATGCACAACTGTTTCGGCGGATAATAGGAGCCACAAATAAAAATGGGACGCTGTAAATACAATGCATTCTGAATGAAATGCCATAATTTAACACAACGGCCCCCTCCTCCTGCTCTTCCTCCTCCTCTTCCAGCCTGCTCTCAATAGCTGCAGAGGGAGTCCTTGACAGTGTGCTAGCAATGATGAATCACCTATCCAGTTAATTTTCTCACTCCTCATGTGTTGTGCTGCTAAAACAGGGGCCTAGAAATTGACTTGACAAACTATGAATGTAAAAAATATCACTTGGAGGGATCTGGGCTTATCTCCAATTTACATGTTATTAGATTTGTGTAGCAAGTGCCACTTGGACCCAGCCATGCTGAGGCAAAAACAGATAGGGCATATGATAAGCAGAGATAAAACATGTCGAAAACCACTCTGAAGCCTTTGAAATATTTGATGGAACGTCACGAGGACAGGAGAAGGGAAAGTGGCCTGATTTTAAACGTGACAGACACACATTGCAATCTGTGGTAAATCTAGAAGAAACCTTGGGAAATTTAGCTGCGATCTCTGGATAAATAGCTGTAATTGACCTTGGGAGTTGAAAATGTGCCATATGTTTCTGGTTCCTGTGTTTGAAACCGGCTCCCGCGGGACAATTCAGCTGAGTCCTCACACGAAGGCAGTGTGCATGAGGAGAGGAGAAGAGGAGAGGAAAAGAGGAGAGGAAGACACACACGAGCAGGGAGAGAAAGAGGACAGAAAGATGGCAGGAATAAGAGATAGATGCTGAAGACAGAAGATGGATGGATAGATAGGTGCGGCTCAGAGCGAGGAGGCTGGAGAAGATGCTGCGTGCACAATGAAAGGCTGACAGAAGGAAAGAGGGAGCGGGGCTCTTGGCTGGCCAGTCACTGTGATATATTGACAGGTGAAGCCTTTGTCCTTGCAAACCTGTGTTCCTCCCAGCAGGAGAAGTGAATGCTAAACCTGGAGCTTGTCAGCACAGCCAACACAAAGCCAGCCACTGCTTTTTCACTGCACAATTACATTTGATTTGACCTGCCAGGTCTGCGCAGAAGCCAGCCTCCTTCAAATGGAGTAGTTATGACCTCTTGGACAGCCATTAGCAGCCAACACAGCATTATTCTACCAGCACTTAAAGCGCTGGATTCGGAAAATCTTGTCAAGGAAAATATCTGTCCACTGGTACGAATGCAGTGGTGCCGAGCTCGGCAGAAAAAGTAGTTGCATGCAGTTTAAGTGCTTTAAAAAAATATGAGCTCGGCTTATCTTGCAAATGCTGTCTGCACTTAAGAGGGCCTTAGAGGGAAAGTCCATTCAGCCCTTCAAATTTGTAATGTCGTATTTTTATTGTTGACAAATAGAACTATTATATAGTATTATAAAAGCATGGAATGGTCATAATAGTTGGACAAACACACAAACTGTGTCCATATGTGTTACTGAGCAGACACAGGGAACATGATAAAGCATGACTCCTCTAATGTAGAGGTCAGCTCTCTTCAAAGTGGTGTAACCTCTGCAGATGTGTGTGAGTGAGACGGTGCATACAGGAGACAGTCCTTACACATGTGCTGCATATGTGTACTGCATGTGTATGCACTGTCCTGTGTACAGAGACAGAAACAGCACTGCAGTCTCAGTCATTACGCACACACACACCACACATAATGTGCCCTCATCACATTTAAGCTAATTTCCTTTTCATCACGGAGAGAGGAAAATGAGTGTTTGCCCCATCCCTGCTGGGGGACAAAGTCAAGAGCCCCGGTCGGTTTGGGCTAGATTAACAGGTAACATTTGGCTCCCACTCTCTTATCACAGCATGAAAATCAAACGCCGTGTTTTCCTCCATCGCTCTCTCGTCCTCCCCTCCCTAATGTTCCTTTCACTTAGAGATGAAATCGCTTGCTGCACAAACCTATTTGGAGCGAGCCGAGAAGGTGAGCAGGATAATCAGGCTGGCCACTGGGCCGTGTTTCCTAAATGCTCTCCAAAACATTACTGTGCACAGGCATAAAATTAGCGGCGAGACCTTAAAATGTTGACATTTAGCATGACTTTTTGGAGAGTGACACCCTCATATTTTCTTGTAGGATATCATTAAATTTCAACTGCCCCGTGGCTGTGCCTTTCCATTAATAACCAATTCAGTGTGTCACTTCTCTCCTGCTCACTCTCTCTCTCTTGCCACCTTTTTAAAGTAATGAGTCCATTGCTTTGCCTTAATAAATTGAATCGTATTCTCAAGGCCATATGAAGATAGAGCCACAGATGGACAGGCTGCATGGAGGAAATAACCATAAATCCTTTACTGTCAGCACGGCGGAGCGAGGTGACAAAAGAAGACAATCGGGATGCTCAATTGGGATCACACTGAGATACAAAAGGCACAGTGAAAGGCCGATTCTCACTGGTAAAACGGCTGCTTCACAGACACACACTGAATATCTTTTATTGCTTTCAAAGCTGTAAATTGCACACAAGTGAAGTTTAAAATAGGAATTAGAATACTGAGCACGTAAAGCTCCTCCATAACCCAGGCCCTTAAAGAGAATGTATGAGACTTTTCTTTCTATTTGTCAAAGCCTAAAAAGCCTTATACCCAAACGATTCACAAGCTCAGCCATGGTCATGTTTTTATGGAAATAGAAACACTGACATAGAATGGAACAAATGTTTTAGGATCACTTTTAACCCTGTACAAATGTTTTATTGAAACAAAATGAAATGTATAAATCTGAAAACTAGGCCTGGGCACTTAATCCAATTTTAATCATAGTTCAGATTCAGCCATTTCTAATCGTTAAACATCAGCTAGGCTCTTTTTAATCTACAGCCAATCCTCTGTCAGTAAAGGCTTCTGGTTTGGAGCAGAGTTCAGACTTAGGAGAAAGAAATTTCACTTTTT